GCGCACAGGCACCCGGGGCTCACCTAAAAATTCAGCCTGCCCGCCAGCAAATCAGCTTCCTGCACTGGCGTAGCTCTTCATCATCGATATCGCAGGCTCCAGTCGCCAAAGGCCTATCATCGTCGCCAGCCTCAACCTCGCCCTCTCCATTGGCGCAACACGCCATCAGGTGACAGCGCGCATCTGCAGTGCCCATTTCTCAATTATCCGAGCCTTCAATCAGAGCTCTGCACGCCTCTGTCCATTCCCAAAAGCTGGGAATAGGCCCAACGCAAATCGCCGCCAGGTACCTCATACCTTGTCTGTACGCGCTCCCGTTGTGGCTGCGTATAAGAGGTACGTAGTATTTCTTCCGTTTCCTTCGTTTCTTTTTTATTCCCTTGATGCCGTTGTTGCCAATCCCCAGCACCCCCGGCTCTTCTTTTACCTACTCGAATCATCTCTCCAAAGCCCTTGTCTTCTCTTTTCGGCCATCCGGCTCGCCCTGTTGGGGTTGACGTCGCCTTGCTTGTTACTTTACTTTGCTTTTGCCTTGCCTTGCCCTGTCTTTTTTTTGTATTGGCTCCCCCTTGTCTTTGTTGCATTGCTTTCATGATCATCTACCTTCTCTTTCTCTCCCTGTATTCTTCGTATCTTTGTTTGTTCGTGTATTTGCACGTCATCCAGTCAAGGCACAACCAAGGCATTGTCGCTCGCTCACCTATTTACACCGACTATTCCTACTTGCTCAGCCCAGCTCAGCCCAGCCCAGTCCACTGAGTCTCACAGCCCAGATTCTCACAGCCTCTTTTTCGTTTTCACCCTGACAGCTGTTACATCACTTTCACCCTTGCTGGGCTGAGTACGTTCGGCCAACCTTTCCTTGCCTCTCTCTCTCTATCTCTCCTCTTGCCTCTGCCCCCAAAATCTGCCCTGTCGTCACCTGTTTGAATCGAGCTCCGCAACATGTCCATTTTGGTGCGCCAGAAGCTCGAGTTTTACCTGCCCGATTGCCTCACTCGCCTCCATCATCCCGTCCCTCCCTCCCACACATGATTGCCAACCTCGGCCAAAAGGTCGTTTCCTCTGACCGGACACGGCCAACACCCACCACCAACCAGCCCGATCCCCCACCTCATGGCGTGTCTTAGTCTCCATGCCCAACTCTCCGCTTTGCCATTCGGATGAGACAATCTAAATCCCTTGGCTCTGAGGCCGTGGAAGCCCTCCTCTTGCCGTCCTCAAAGCCTGCCTGCACACTGCATCGCATTAGGAGATGCGAATCTCATGGCGCTTATCTGGATCGGCGCGGCCTCGTTGGCTTCCCCTCGACGGCGCCGGCTTGGGCTCTCATTTGTCTCTGCCAAAACTTGTGTGCCGACGTGTCGGCAACAAGTTGGGGGCTTTGTTGTGGGCTCCGTTGGCCTGGTGTGGACCTGGCTGCATATTCCGTCATGCATGAGCTACAACTATGCCAACGCATCACAAGTGTGGCTCCCTGGTGCTGGTGGCTCGCACCCCTGTCCCATCCTTGCCTGGATACCTCTGGCCGTCTCACCATTCGCAGCGTCTCGCCTATATACAACTGAGCTAACGCCTGTGGTTGGATAGATCTTTGTTAATCCTCGATTGAGAAGTTCTGGGGAAGTGGAAAAGGCGACTTTGCTCTCCATCCCGTACCGTACCTTGTCGCAACGACTTGGGAGGCAACAACAAGACCTCTCTCGAATTCACGTGGCTCTCTTCTCGCCCGGCAACTCAGCCACCCTCCACTCTGCCCCGCGGCTACATCTTTGCCTGCAGACGCCTTGCGGCTTTATGAGCCACGTACTTGGCACCATCCCACCAACCTGCCAGCTCACCAACGCATGTCTGGTAGACTTGGGTGCCTGAACATTGCACGCTTCTCTTGCGATTACCCAAGCATCGAATCGCCAGCTTCCCGGCCAGACGTGCCCAACCTATACCCAAGCGACCGGCGCGCATTTTAAACCTCTTCCAAAACAGAATTAAGGAAAAAAGAAAATCACGAAAGGAAAAAACAAAACGAACTATTGTCTTAGCACGATTTCTTCTTCTTTTTTTATTGTCTGTCTTAGTTCTTCATCTTCGGTTGTTCGTCATTGGGCTTTTCGCGGTCTTCGTTGTAAGCAAGTCGTCTAGCGTTGCGCTGTTGATATTATTCGTCCCGGATCTCCTAGCTTCAAGTTTCGGACTTGTGATAGGGCCAACCGCGATAGCGCCACCCCACAATTTGGCTCGCGACATCTTCGCGACACCAGCTTCGGTCCTTGTCCTTCTTGGAGGATGATGGAATACGCGCAATATCCACAACAGCAACACAATTCTCACGCAGGTTACGCGAACTCTGCCGCCGGCGCAAGTATCACCTCGCCCGCCAGCCACGGCATCACCCAGCACGCAGTGCAATCATCCCCCATCGTCGCATCGCAACAGCAGCAGCAGCAGCAGCAGCAGCAACAACAACACCAGCCCGGCCAGGCCCCAGCTCACGGCATGTATCAACCACAGTATGGCGTGCCTCAACCCAGCATGCAGCCGGTTCCCTATGGCATGCCCGGCATCCAGGCTGCCGCAATGGCCGCCACTGCCGCCGCCTCGGGGTCCAGCTACCCTTACATGCACCCAGATCCGAGCATGCCTCATACGTCCCCGCGAATGCCCAACGCTAAGAAAGATGGCCGGCCGTCTCCTCGCATGAACAGCATTTCTCAAATCCCCGGCCGCCGCATGAGCCAAGTCACCAGCCCCGGCGTGCCGAGCGCCCCGGGCATGATGAACCACGGCGGACCCCGGCCCCCGCCCATGCCTCCGGCCCCTGCCATGCAGCACCCACAATCTCCCGAGATGCCTGCGGGGGCTGTCGAAGAATCCCCCCTATACGTCAACGCGAAGCAATTCCACCGAATCCTCAAACGACGCGTCGCTCGCCAGCGCCTCGAAGAGCAATTGAGGCTGACGTCCAAAGGACGAAAGCCATACCTCCACGAGTCCAGACACAACCATGCGATGCGTCGACCTCGTGGACCCGGCGGTCGCTTCTTGACAGCCGAGGAGGTGGCGGCTATGGATGCCAAGGGGGAGCTAGATGGCAGCGGCAAGGGCCTTGAAGATGTCTCACCCTCAAAGTCCTCTGAAACCTCAAGCGGCAAGCGCAAGTCGGAATCTGGACCCTCAACTTCGAGTAAGAAGCCCAAAACGCAAGCCGAGAGCTCCGAAGGGAACCCGGAAGACGACAGTTAATAACTGCTTTCGTCTCTTTCTGCTTCTACTTCACTCTTTTTTTCGAGCATGCTCAAAGCACCTCGGACGGTGCAAATGAGACATTCTCGGGTTCTTTCTCTCTCTTTACTATAATGAGGACACGATGACAGGGATTTTGAGGACAGATGCGTCTTTGCCATCATTCTCAGTTGAGGCATCGAATGGGACGGGGAGTTTTCTGTGATGTTTTCTTTTTATATAACGGCCGACAAATGGTGTGTGATCTCAGAACACTCTCCGATTCGAGAGACTCAGCATATCCCGCCGTCTCCGTGGACAATTTCGCTCCATTATTCGGTCACTTGAAGACTGATAATGTTGAAGATGGATCTGTCTTGGTCTGGCGATGAGCTGAGGCTCGTCATGGTCGGGTTTGGGACTCCAGACGGCTGGAAAGGGGGGGAACTGGTTGGGCAGGCAGAATGCATGGATGACTCGACACGATGGATACCCCTTATTGTTTTCTTCTTGCCACACACTTTTTTTTCTTATGTTTATTGACTTTCTCTACTCACGGAATGTTCGAAAGAGTTGAACCTTTGGAGGAATTTGGTCTGGCTACCATGGAGATGCATCAAGGCAATACGGCATTTATCTTCTTTTGACTTTTTTTTGCTTTTCTTCTTCTTCTTCATCTTTTTTCCTTCTCGATTTTACTCTTTATTCTTTCCCTTTTTTTATTCTTTTTATTCTTTTCTTTTTTTGCATCAGCTGGTATAAAATCACCGACAAAGCATAAAAAAAGAGAATGGGACTGGGAAACAAAGAAGCAATTAAAAAACAGGACTAGGCTGTGTGCAGGACACAGATAGACATTAGCATTGTTTGAACAACAAGGGAGAAGTGTCTGGACACTTGGAGAAGGTGGGAAAGAAAGATTATGTAGTTTGTGTGGATATAGAGGTGAAGGTGTCGTCCGTCACCGGATATGCTCTGGGCTTTCCTAGCTTTCAAATTGAAGATATCATTTGATATGCAACAGTACTATCCAAGGACAAGTATCATGATAAATACGTGATATGTGAGTACCTACTAAGGTATTAGAACGCAGATTATGTTATGTATAAGTTTAGCTGGTATAAATAGCTGAAGTCGGACTTATTGGAGTTGAGTACCTAATTGGCGTTCTTTAAATGCTAAACTTGTCGAGATGCAGTGGTACTTGCTTGTACTCCATGTCTTGCTTTAGGTAGTCCGACGTGAAGGCACAAGAGCAACAGCTTGGAGTTGTCATCGTGGTATCTAATAGGCGAATTGCCGTGCTGTTTTTAACCCGATTGGGCCAGCATCACTCATCAGATTGGTAGGCATCACCAACTTACATGCTGTCCAATGGGGAGGAATGAAACCAATGCCCTGGCAGAGAGATCTGGGCAAAGAGGAAACGAAGAGGGGGGGAGGAGACTTATCGGGGGTGGCTGAAAACCCGGGGTCGGCAGGTACGGCAAATAGCTGGCAAATCGCCGAGCCTCGGCATGTCAGACACTGACTGGCCCGTCCTTACCTCATCTGCTGCGATCCGAGAGGACAAGATGAAAAGCTGCCCTCTTTCTCCCCTCCTCGTCCCGGTATGTCCTTTGATCTGGGAGCTGGGAACACCAATCCATTCGGACCGACTGCCGTAGTATCCCACGTCCGTGGAGCTGCATCTTTTGGTTTTACGACAATCTGGTCGCTGGACGTGACCCGGAGAGCACACGCGATTACCTTGGACGTTAGACGATAGACGGTCGACGATGGCGGGCGCAGTGCGGCAACCCATTGACGAAAAGGCGTTTGCAAAGTACCTTGAGGAGAATGTACCGGCCATCAAGACGCCGATTGATCTGAAGCAGGTTCGTTGACACCGTTCTCACTCGCGGGCCCTGGGAGGCAGAATCGAGAAGCATACATGACTGACCCAGCCGCTCTCTCGCCATAGTTTGGCTTCGGACAATCCAACCCGACATACCAGATCACCGACGCAGCCGGCAAGCGATATGTGCTGCGCAAGAAGCCGCCGGGGAAGCTGCTGTCCAAGACGGCGCACAAGGTAGAGCGCGAATACCGGGCGCTGCACGCGCTCGAGACGACCGACGTGGCGGTGCCCAAGACGTTTTGCCTGTGCGAGGACGACTCGGTCATCGGCACGCCGTTCTACATCATGGAGTTTCTCGACGGGCGCATCTTTGAGGACTTTCTGATGCCCGGCGTGACGCCCGCGGACCGGACGGCGCTGTGGAAGGAGGCGATCCAGACACTGGCGCGGCTGCACGCCGTGGACGTGGCCAAGGTCGGGCTGGATAAGTTTGGTAAAGCGAGCGGGTTTTATAGTAGGCAGACGCAGACGTGGGCGACGATTTGCATCAGCCAGTCCAAGGCGGTCGACATCGAGACCAAGGAGCCGGTGGGACAGCTGCCGCACTTTGACGAGCTGGTGGGCTTTTTCAAGGACGAGAGGCTGCAGCCCAAGGATAGGGCGACGTTGGTGCATGGGGACTTTAAGATTGACAATTTGGTCTTTCACAAGACGGAGCCTCGGGTGATTGGCATCCTAGAGTGAGTTTTTCTACTTTGTTTGTTTTGTTTTGTTTTGTTGCGTACATGGGGCTAACAGAATGGTTGTGACATCACAGCTGGGAAATGTCTACGATAGGCCACCCGCTCTCCGACGTCTGCAACTTCATCACGCAGTTCTACCTCGCCCGCTCGCCCGGCGCCTCGGCGTACAGCGACAGCGAAAAGTTTCTGCCCGGCGCGACGCCCGGCCTGCCGCAGCCGGACGAGATCCTGCAGTGGTACACCGAGGTGTCGGGCTACGACCCGCGGCCGGAGCTCAGCTGGGGCGCGGCGTTTAACATCTTCAAGCTGGCGGGCGTGTGTCAGGGCATCGCGGCGCGGTACGCGGCGAGGCAGGCGAGCAGCGCGAAGGCGAAGATGTACATTGGGACGAGGGGCCCGTTGGCGCAGTTTGCGTGGGAGCTGGCTCAGCAGGCGAGGGATGCAAAGGCAAGAGATTCGAAGCTGTGAGGAGGTTTGGATATGTATAGGGTACTAAGGTGAGGGATGTACTTACTTAGAGTATAGATAGGTAGGCATTGTTGGAGATGGGAGAGACTAGTTGTGGTTTAGTTTATTCAACTAGAGTAATTTTGGTCTTGATGCATGATTTGAAGGGATGGATGAGCTCTTGGGAGAGGGAGAGGGAGAGGCGCTGTGACGACTTGGATGGGCATCAAGACGAAAGCATGTGTTGTCTCTGGGGCAGCACTAGCACCTCACTTGTAGCATGGATGGATTGATAGGCTGTGTGAAGCTTGGGAATAAAAAGAAAACTCCATATCAAAATCCATTCAACAGGGGGGGTTTCTGGCGGCAAATGTGCCGTCCACGGTAATACTATAAGCAGAGCAGGGCCCCAGCCAGCGTTGCAGTAAGATTTGGTGAATCCCGTCGGCACCTGATCGATCCAAGACAATTCGGTTCGTTCGAATCGAGGCGGGCGGTTTTCGACATCGTGGGGGCGCGTCCAATCAGGCGCGTGTCTGTGCCCACCCAAAGCTGGTGCCCAGCGGGAAATGCCATTGACGCCAAGGGGGAAGATTTTGGGGGAATTGGGTATGTATTTTCTTGATTCCTCTTTATTGTTTACTTCATTGGAGCTTTTGGCAACCATTTGCAGATTAGAGTAGAATTTTTTTTTTATTTTTTTTTTATGTTATTTATTTTTATTCTTTTGTTTTCTGTTGTTGCTTCATTGAGGCCTGAGTGAGAGCTGCGGACAACTTGTCGCTCCCTTATAAATACAGGCTGAGATCACTATCAGCCACCATCGTCATCATCCATCACCACAGCGCATCTACTCCTAGCTACCACAGCAACCCTCGAATCTCCATCTCCCTTGTTCCCCCGTAACCTCCGCCATTCTCTCATGGCAGAACGACGCAGGAGGCTCCAGCTCTCTGTTCCGCCCGACGAGCGCCGGCCGCTGCTCAGCAGGCTGTCGACGGAGCACGAAAACGGCGAGCACGTCTTCAGCTGCCGCACGAACCCGCACAGCGACCTGCCCGTGTACACAAACATTCATCGCATCCGGCGCGACATTGTGAGCGTCGTGGAGGATTACTTGACGCTGGAGCAGCTGCGGGACGTCAAGATCAATGTTACCGTGATTCGGCCGCTGGTGGACAAGTTTTATGAGCTGGGGGATGTTTCCATTGGTACGCTGCTTTTTCTATTTCTTGCTTTCTTCTTGTCAGGATCGGGGTTGGGCGGGTTCGAGTGTTTGGAGATCAATTGATTTCCTCATCGGCGGAATTGATGAAGAAAAGGAAGAATAAAAATGAAAAATGGGAATCGGAATTTGCTAACTCGTCTGCAGTATACTGCCTGCTGGTCAACAGAGCCCAGTTCCTAGACGAAAATTCGCGGTCCACCAACCGCCAAAACGTCAACTGGACTCGCGCCACCCTGTGCGAGCTCATCGCCACGCGTATCCTGCGCCGCTTTGGCGAAGACCACGACGACGACCACGAAGGCCTGCTGCTGCTGGCGCACATCCTCGTCGCCGGCTTCGAGCCCTTCCAGAATGCGCCGGCGCACGTCCGCGAGGAGGCCGAGGACAAGGCCTGGTGGACGACGCACCGCACGCTGCCCGCCCTCGAGGTCGCCATCTTGACCGAGAGCAGACACTTTCTCAGCTCGACAACGGCCCAGAGGGTCGTGTCGGCCATCTACGAGGGCCGCGTCATCTACACGCCGTCGACGTCGTGGGACATTATCCCGGACCACTACAAGCTGAAGCCCATTTCCATCTACGAGCCGCGCGAGTCGCCGCTGCTGAACCAGTATCGGCTGATTGTGCCGCGGACGCGCAATTACCTCGAGGCCATTCAGTTTACCATCTTGCTCGGGCTGTATGTGTCCGTCATGATTTTGCGGAGGAATGGCGAGTTTCCGTATCTGGAGGCTGCGTTTGCGATATTTGCGTTTGGATGGTGCTTGGATCAGTTTGCGACGATTCTGGCACACGGATGGTGAGACTCTCCTCCTCCTTACTTGCTTATTCACTTTCTAGGAGTGTTTTGGATGTTGTTGAGAAGAGAGCTGACATGTTGCATCACAGGAACGTGTACACGCAGAATCTGTGGTCTTTTCTCGACGTCACCTTCATCTTCCTTTTCGTCATCTACAGTGGCCTTCGCCTCTGGGGGGTATGGACCGGATTGCTGGGGCCCTCGGAGCAGGCGTTTGATGTCTTGGCGCTCGCGGCACCTGTGCTGGTCCCTCGCCTGGCGTTCAACTGGCTGTCTGACAACTTGGTCTTTTTGTCGCTGAGATCCATGATGGCCGACTTTTTCCTGCTCACTGCGCTTTCGGCGTGGTGCTTTTTTGGATTCTTGCTGTCTCTGCTGTGGCTGGGAGAGGGAGCGCATCCGTTGCTGTAAGCTTGCTTCTTACTTGGTTTCCCGATGTTGTCATGTGCTGATGGATTGCTTGCTCGCTTAGCACGATTTCGAAATGGATGATTTACATCTGGTTTGGACTCGATGGCACTGGAATTCACCGATCGGTAAGCTCCATCACAAAGGGAGATGGGATGGGAGGAAGTTTTGCGCTGACATGTTCTGGCTCTATAGGTCGAATTCCACTGGCTACTGGGACCCGTCGTCATGATCACATTTGCTTTCCTGGGCAACACTCTCTTCCTTACTATCCTCGTTTCCATGCTGTCGAATACATTCAGCAACATCTCCACCAACGCTGCAGCCGAGATACACTTTCGAAAGGCTGTGCTCACGCTTGAAGGTGTCAAGGCGGACGCTGTTTTCGCTTACCAGCCTCCGTTCAATCTCCTAGCCGTCTTCCTTCTTCTGCCGCTCAAATTCGTCGTCAGCCCGCGATGGTTCCATAAAATCCACGTCGCCACTGTTCGGTTGGTCAACCTTCCCCTGCTGCTCTTCATCGCCGTCGCCGAGCGCCGCCTGCTGTGGCCGGACAAGAGTTCCGAAGGAGGAACTGTCGGCTCGCTGGCCCAGAAATGGTTCTGGCAAAGGTGGCAGCTCTCAGCATATCAGTACATCCGCGCCGTGTTTGACGTGCCGCCCCCGGAGGATGTATATGATGACATTGCCGTGGATGACGACCTGACGCACCACCTCATTCGGAGGCAATACACGCGGCAGGAGACCCATGACTCGGTGAGGAGGCCCTCGCGCCGAGATTCCATGTTTGAAATCCCGCCTAAGCTGCGGTCGTCACTCACGGAAACGGGTGAAGATTACGCAGATATGGCAGGTAGGCTGGCTGCCATGGAGAAGGCCATGCAGCGGATGGAGGATATGCTCTCGAGGCTTCTCCCGCCGGATGGCAGTGAAATTGGGGAGAGTGACACACTGCCCGCGGGCGATGGCACTACTTTGGATTCGTCTTTCAAAGGACGCGAGACGAATTTTTGAAGATTGACAAATTGCGAGAGCGTTTTTTTTTTCTAAATTTTTTTTTTTTAGAATAGCGGGCTATGTATGGATTTTTGACATTTGGCATGAGCATTTGGCGTTGGCTTGACATTTGTTGCATTGAATATGGGAGCGTTGGTACGAGACATGTATGTCTGTCTGCATATACTCAAATTGAATCTTTCAAATGTACACTTGTTCCCGTTGCATGACCGTTTTCATGCATGTTTGTCACTGTGATTGACGTCGAGTGCATCACTGTGCTCTGACGTTTGTCTGGGACTGGCTGGATTCACTGCCGGCTGCCGACGGTCCGTCATTTGTCTTGAGATCAAAGTTCCAAATTGCTGCAATTGTATGTTTGTCCTTCATTGTAATCCCATCGTGTGGATCTATTGTGCTGTCATTTCGTCAAACCGATCTTGACTCAAATGTTCAACCCAAACCACCAAACCCAACGCTCGAAACCAAAATCTAATAAGCACCAGCTCAAGCGCGCATACAAAGAAATCCTCACACAAGACATCTTCCCACCCATGAAGAAAAAAGAAGAGAGAAGAAACAAACCATCAGAAAGCAAAAATAACCATCATGTGCAACGTCACCTTCTTCCAACAGAAATCATGCAAACACATCTGGGCCATCATCTCGACCCCCTGCGGGCCATACATGGACTTTGACACGTGCCCGAGCTTCGGCGGCGGCGGCGGCATCAAGAAGACGCCCGGCTTCTACAAGACCGGGAGCAGGCCGTGTCCGCGGTGCGGCTTGGGCGGGCTGTATGACCGGCGGGCGGTGCGGATGGTGGAGAGGATGGGGTGGGGGATGCATTGGGGGATGGATCCTGATGGCGGGGATTGGGCGGTTGAGGTGAGGATGGGGGAGACGAGGAAGTGTGTGATTTTGTGAACTTTTGGGGAAAGGCTTTGGTTGGTATGGATGAATAGGGGGAGGTTTGTGAGAAGTGAAGCTGGAGTTGGGTGGTGAGAGTTGGGTTTATGGTGTTTTTGGGAGGGGCATTTTTGGTGGCGTGGGGGAGGTGAGCTGCGTCTTGCTTGAGAAGAGCAACGGGGCACATTTGATTTCCAAGGAAATATCATGGCTTGTTGCCAATTTGATCTTTTAAAACATCTGTCTAAATGATGAATATTTTTCCAAAAAATAAAATGATCATATATACTCACTTCATCTCTCATGACATCACGTGGCCCCACCATCCGCCATTCTATCAATCAACTTTCTTCAACCTACTTAAAAAAAAGTCTTCATGAAGCTCTCACCATCCCCCAATCTCATATACAAAACAAACTCACCCAATTCCCCTCCTCTCATCAACCCCCCCCAAAAAACCATGCTTCCCACACCAGATACTTCTCACGTCCCCTACGAGCGTGTCTACGAGCCCGCCGAAGACTCATTCCTCCTCCTCGACACACTCTCCTCCTCCTCCGAGACGCAGTTCCTCCATGCCACATTCTCATCTTCTCCCGCTCTCCCCTTTGTCGTCGAGCTCGGCACCGGATCGGGCGTCGTCCTCGCCTTCATCACCGCCCACGCAAAGACCCTCTTCGGCACCTCCCACATCCTCACCGCCGGCGTCGACATGAACGCCTTTGCCTGCCGCGCAACAATCACAACAGTAGCAAAAGCCCAAGCCGATTCAGTCGCCGAGAGCAGTGGGGGCAATGAAATCACTCACGGCCTGTACCTGGGCTCCGTCATGGGCGACCTCGCCGCTCCCTTGAGGAACCGCTCCGTCGACGTGCTCGTCTTCAACCCGCCATACGTGCCGACGTCGGAAATGCCCGCGCGGCCGGAGACCTTCACCGAGGACTTTTCGCCCAAGACGACGTTTGACGACGATTCTTACTTGCTTGCGCTGTCGTATGCCGGCGGCGCGGACGGCATGGAGACGACGGACAGGCTGATTGATGGCTTGCCGGAGATTTTGTCGGCGAGGGGTTGCGCGTATGTGCTTCTTTGTGCGCAGAACAAGCCGGAGATTGTCAAGGAGAGGATACGGGCTTGGGGGGACGGGTGGAGGGCGGAGACGGTTGGGTCGAGTGGGAAGACGGCTGGGTGGGAGAAGTTGCAGATTGTGCGGATATGGCGAGGCTCGGCGCCGTGAGGGTTTACGGATGAATGATTTGAGCTTTAAGAGATCACGAGTGAGAGATACTTGGATAGTGATCTGCAATGCCTAAACTGGACGATTGCTGTTTATATAATGAAGACTGCCAGGAATGGGCTACGCGAATCACCGTCACCGTACTCAGCTGGAAGTCATCGGATATCAAAATCTCCAGCTGGGGAGAGCACATCGTTTGATGTTGCGAAAGGACTCGGACATTATTCTTCCAAGGAGAACAGCCTTGGTACTACTACCAGCCTCCTCATATCACATAAAGTCAGCAGTGTACATAGAAACGGACTGGCAATTTATATATTCGAATATCTTGTCATCTCGAAATAGATTTTTTTTGGCCGAATATCAAAGCGCTGAACCCCACCTCTTCCATCTTCCCCCCGGAACAAGTGTCGTTTGTTTCTTTAGTTTTTTTTGTGTGGGCAAAACGCATCCCAAACGCCGTTTCCATCGCAGCTTGCGACGCCTCCACAGTCCGTTGAAGTCGAAAAATGGTTTCCTTTGTTGTGTATCGTTGCCAAAGACCCTTTCCCCAATGATATCGGCCCTCGGCTCGACCCAGCTTTGGAAAAAAAAAGATATAGTGCCTCGGTTTCTCTATCCTTTGTCGTATTATTATCGTCCCAATTCAAGCCTTAGCCACGACCACGACCGCGGCCACGACCACGACCTCCTCTGCCACGGCCACCACGGCCTCCACGGCCTCCTCTGTCAGCCTCCTTTCTGGCTTTGTTCTTGGGCTTGGGTGCGTCGTCAATGAGCAGGGTGTCGAGAGGCAGGGAGTCGGGGAGGATGAAATATCGGATTGTTGAGCCTCGGATGTTCATGGTGTCGAGGGCAATCGAGTCCTGGCCGCGAGCCGTCATCTTGACCGTGCGGAGGGCGACGTTCATCTGGGGAGTGACTGAGGAGATGGTGCCGTGGACGATGGTGCCTGACGCGGGGGTTGGTTAGTGAGACTGTCAAGTCATGCTCGTTGATCGCAGCTGCGCGATGCTGAGAAGCACTGGGAGCTCGCATGGTGGGTTTGTAGCATACCATTTTTCAGTTCAATGGTCACCGTTTCGTTGGCACACTTCATCAAAAACCTGCCGTGGCGCAATTGTCAGTGTCGTGAAGCTCAAAAGCTCAGAACATGCATGGGGAGGGATGGAGACGCCGCTCGCCCGACGGGACAATTCAAGCGTAATTCTGCAGCTCGGGGGATCTCGCTCACCTGACGAGCTTCATGGCGACGGCGGAGGCCTTTGTGGCCTGTTGTGGGATGGATTCAGGGATTCCGATGAGCCTCGTCGCGCGCGTTGCCTCGTCACACGGTTTATATAGCAAGGCTGGCGGATGCCTTCAATTGTCGGTCGGAAAAATAGTTGCCCATTCATTAGCTGGGCGGTCGTTACTAATGGGAGTTAGCTGGGTTTGGGGAGCTGAGGTGGGCACGTGACTCCGTAGCTGGCGAGAGGTACGATCAAACAGGTACCGGATTTCAGTGATGGAAATCGACCTCAACTCACGTGAAGGCGTGGCTCGACAATGTACTCCATACTTTTCTCCCCGCCAGATCAGGCTCAAACCGCCATGTACTCCATACCTTGACTTGACTCTTAAAGCTTCTGCTTACCTGTACCCGTCTCCACCCAATTGCTCGAAAATTGTTTATCGATAGTAGACGATGCTTTGTTCAAGAGGAAACCCCGGCAATTCTCTTCGGTCCGGAGTTACTATTCGATTCACCCGTTTGACGCTTTGTCACGGGCAGCTTCAAGCTCCTTCACCTTGTCCAGCAAGCGTTCGTTTCTTGTCCACCTCGATGGGGAGAATGCAGATGCTGCCACCATCGCCGTCTCGTCTATCCACCCGCTGAAATATTTACGCCATCTTTGGCCCTCTGCCGAACACACCAGCTGAAGCCCTGACCAGCTGCCTCCAGCACCACTCCATACCTATAATCTAGCTCTGCAACCCCCACCATCTGTGCGACCAGCGTTTTTGGGGCCTCTTGTGCCGCGACTGGGCTTCCACGACTGCTGTCTATCTGACGCCTCACCTACTCGATTTTGCCTCTTGGGGGGTTCTCGCGGAGAGCTGAAGCTGCAATGATTTCAGGGCGAGGGGGAGCGGGGGCTCGAGGGCGCATCCGCCCACCTCGTCGGATTGTGCGTGTAAGTTGCAAGGCTGGAACCCTCAATTCACGGCGCATCCCCTCCTCACTGCTCAGCGCATCTTGGGGCGCAATCCTGCCATGCGAGGCTGAGGCCCATCAACGCCGCTGCTCCCCATGAGTTGCCGTCTCGCTCAACTTGTTCCGCTTCAACAGACATGTCACGATGGGTTCCAGCGAGAGCAAGCAGTTGCCTTCCCATGCGCAGGCGCAATCTCCAGAGCCAGAGCCAAAGCCAGAACCCTCTCACTTCAAGCCCAGGGCTTGCGGATCAGCAGCTAATCATCCTTCACAGCCCAATGGCCCTGGCGAGGGGGCCGACTTCGATGCATGCTGGAACATGATCAAAGAAGCGCTGCGCGACATCCACAACAAGAGCTGCGGCCGTCTCTCCTTCGAAGAGCTATACCGAGCGGCGTACAAGATCGTGCTTAAGAAGAAGGGTGAGGTTCTGTACGACAAGGTCAAGGAGTTTGAGGAGCAATGGTTTGCCCAGCACGTCATTCCCAAGATTGAAGTCTTGGTCACCAAGAGCCTTATCAATATCGGCATCGACATTTCGTCATCGGCGTCTGTTAACGAGCGGCGACAAACGGGCGAAAAGTTCCTCAAGGGTCTTCGAGATACTTGGGAAGATCACAACATGTCCATGAACATGACGGCAGATATTCTCATGTACCTAGATCGAGGCTACACGCAGCAGGAGCCACGCCGAATCCCTATCTTTGCCACCACCATTGCCCTATTTCGAGACCATATATTACGCTCATGCCTCAACGCGAATTCCGACAGCCTGATTGTGGATATTCTTATTTCCGTCATGCTAGATCAGATCGACATGGAGAGACGTGGAGACGTCATTGACCGAAATCTGATCCGTAGCTGCAGCCGGATGCTGAGCTGCCTGTACGAAACCGAGGACGAATCGGAGAGCAGCAAGCTCTATCTTACCATCTTTGAGCCTCGATTCCTCAGCAACAGCGAGACCTTCTACTCGAGAGAGTGCGATCGGCTACTACGGGAGTCTGATGCCAGCACTTGGCTCCGGCACACTGAGACTAGGCTCTTGGAAGAAGAAGACCGCTGCGGCACCACTATAGAACTCGAAACCCTTCCCAAGGTGTCGGATGTGGTGGACAAGAAGCTGATTCTTGGTCACCTGGATGACTTTCTTGCCATGGAGGGTAGTGGCCTAAGGTGGATGATTGACAACGACAAGATAGACGACCTCAGCATCTTGTACAGACTCATCTCGAGAGTGGATGACAAGAAGGCGGCTCTTCGCGAAATACTACAAAAGAGAGTTGTTGAACTGGGGCTGGAGATTGAGAATGTGTTGAAGAACACTGATTTCTCAACAGGACAGGGTGATGGTGAGGACGGCGGAGATGGCGACAAGGCCAAAGCGCTCAACCCGGCCGCGCAACAGACGGCAGCGGCCATCAGATGGGTCGACGACGTGCTTCGGCTGAAAGACAAGTTTGACTACATGCTAGAAGCATGCTTTCAAGAAGACCTGGTGATCCAAACCGCCCTGACCAAGAGCTTTACCGATTTCATCAATCTGTTTAATCGAAGCTCGGAATACGTCTCTCTCTTCATCGACGACAGCCTCAAGAGAGGCATCAGAGGCAAGACGGAAGCCGAGGTGGATGCCATCCTGGAGAAGGCAATCGTCCTGATTCGTTATCTGTTGGACAAGGACCTCTTCCAGACCTACTATCAACGCCACCTGGCTCGTCGACTGCTCCATGGCAAATCAGAAAGTCACGACGTGGAAAAGCAAATCATATCACGGATGAAGCAGGAAATGGGGCAGCAGTTTACAAGTAAATTCGAAGGCATGTTTAGAGATCTCGTCACCTCTTCAGAGCTGACGTCGACGTACCGCGACCATATCCGCAAGCTGGACCCCGAAGGGCACACCATCGATCTCAACGTCAACGTCCTCACCACCAACTACTGGCCCCAAGAGGTCATGGGCCGCTCTGCTCAGCTTGGAGAGACCCCAAGGATGGGCTGCACCTATCCACCCGAAGTTAAACGACTGCAAGCTAGCTTTGAGCAATTCTACCTGACTAATCGCAACGGCCGAAAGCTCACATGGATTGGTACAACCGGCAGCGCAGATATCAAGTGCGTGTTCCCGGCTATCGAGGGGAAAGCCGGCCCATTGGCGCGAGAACGTCGCTATGAGATGAATGTTCCCACATATGGCATGGTTGTCCTCTTGTTGTTCAACGACCTGAAGGAAGGCGAGAGCCTCAGCTTTGAAGAGATTCAGGCCAAGACAAACATGTCAACGCCAGATCTGACGCGGGCACTCATGGCAATTGCCGTTGCGCCAAAATCTCGAGTTCTGGCCAAAGACCCACCGACAAAGAACATCAAGCCTACCGACCGGTTTACTTTCAACGCCTCTTTCCAGAGCAAGACGATCAGAATCAAGGCACCCATCATCAACGCCGTCTCCAAGGTCGAAGACAAGGAGGAGAGGAGGACGACGGAAGAGAAGAACAACCAAACCCGAGCTCACATTGTCGACGCGGCAATTGTGAGAATCATGAAGTAAGTTTGAAAACCAGCTGTAACTATGATTTCCCGGGGCAGTCACTGACTAGTCATTCTCAGGGCACGAAAGGAACTCAATCACTCTCAGCTGGTGAGCGAAGTCCTGTCGCAGCTGGTTGGCCGCTTCAAGCCCGAAGTCTCTCTGATCAAGAGGCGCATCGAGGATCTCATTGTGAGAGAATACCTGGAGCGGCCAGACGAAGACGGCGCGCCATCGATGTATCGCTACGTGGCGTGATGGAAGATTGCAGTTTTCAGTACATACGCATTTGGGTAAGGGTTGCTTCTGATGAGTTTACGAGCATGGGGCTGTGTCTTGTTGTATTTATTCTTCCAAACGTGGCAAGGCGTCCAGAGAACGACGGATAAGTTTTTTTTATATAGTTTTTTTCTCTTTTGCTCAGCATTTGTCGTACCTGGAGAGGCAAAGCATGCATCTACAGAATAGCATCTATAGGTTGCGGTTGGATGAAGTCGAGGGTTCAAGGGGGGAGGCAGCTAGATGGATTGCGTTTGGTGGTACATTTTGATGCCGGGGAAGCGTCAATAAGCTCAAGCATCAAAGAGAGTTCTGGTGCATAGAGAGGTATAAATCAAATAGGCACATTCGGTCTCATTCTTGTTTTAACTCTGTGGAAGTCAACTTGCTGATATAATGTACATGTCATCACGGGTGAGGCTAATGTTGAGTGGTGACATGTAACCATGAAATAACGAAACGGAAGAACTGCGAGGTCGGACACGATAGCAGCCAGTTAGGCTATGAGTTTTACCGATCGCGTATAGCACTGGAGATGCCCTGTAGATGGTGGATTTCCAGGGGACCTCGTGCTGTAAGTCGGAGCAGCTCGTGTGCCGAGGCTAATCCGAGCGCCAACTCTCCCACCCGCATTGGGCCTCGATGCCACCGACTTGAACTCGATTCGCTGTGCTGGCTTAAAGTCGAAGCTGTAGCTATTTAACACGCAGCTCACTGGGATCAACGTCTGAGGGCTTTTGGATATTCGTGAAAACGGGAATACAAGTGTTGTCTCATCACAATGTTTGGACTAAGGAGATCAATGGCCACTGCGGCCTCACAAGCGTCCTTGTCTCTGAAGCAGGCGGGCAAAGTCGTCTGCATTGGCCGCAACTATGCGTAAGAATATCTGCTTGTTTTTCCTCTTCTTCTTCTACTTTGATACTCGTGACAGAGAGAAAGAATATAGTTTGCTAACGTTGTGCTTGCTTTTATATATATACAGGGATCACATTGCAGAGCTGCAAAACGCAAAGCCAAAGAAGCCCTTTTTCTTCCTCAAGCCGCCTTCGTCCATCGTCTTGCCCGGCGAGGGCCCGTGTCTGCAGCCCAAGGGCGTGGACATGCACTTTGAAGTTGAGCTGGCGCTCATAATTGGGTCGGTGGTGAAGAATCTGCATCCGGAGGATGAGAAGGGAGCGTTGGATGCCATCAAGGGTGAGTTTTGAGCTTCCCTTTTTTTCTTCCCCCTACAGCGTGCTATATCATAAATGGGGGGACTATGATTATATATACATATATATCTATTCAGAGAGAGAGATGCTAACAAAACAAAGCATACGCCATCGCCATCGACATGACAGCCCGCAACGTGCAAGCCGAGGCCAAGAAAAAGGGCCTCCCCTGGGACATCGCCAAGGGCTTCGACACCTTCCTGCCCATGAGCAACCTCATCCCCAAGACGGCCATCGCCGACCCGCACGACGCCGAGCTGTTCCTCGAGGTCAACGGCCAGCCGCGGCAGCGCGGGTCCACGGGCCTGATGATCTACCGCATCCCGCGCATCGTGAGCGACATCTCGCGCGTCATGACGCTGCTGCCGGGCGACGTGGTGCTGACGGGCACGCCGGCGGGCGTCGGGCCTGTGGTGCCGGGGGACGTGATGAGGGCGGGCGTGAGGGTTGGTGGGAGGGAGGTTGATGAGGGGAGGATTGAGGTGCCCGTGGAGTTGTCGGGGAGTGCGTATGAGTTTTCGGAGACGTGAGGTGTGTATATAGATACTGGGTGGAAGCGTGAGTTGTGTAGATGGATATATGTATATACGGGGGAGAAGACGAGACAACACAGTTCAACTTGGATCCTTGTTTTCATTCATCATGTTGTGCCTTGTCTCTTGGGAGAATCTACCTATACAGCACATTGTCTTCATACATCCCCATCCTCATCCTCATCCTCATCATCACTGCAAATTAGGATCCGGAATCGACCCCGGCTTCGGCGCCCAGTCCGCCACCGTCCCGCACCTCCGACACGTCCTCTTCTCCTCATCCCCCCTAAAGTCCTCCACAGCCTGCTTAATCTGCGTGCCCAGATCCGTACAATGAAACGCAGCCTCGTGAACGACGACGGCCTCGGCACCAGGTTCGCCGCAGCACGTCGCGCAGTACCAGCGCATGCGGTCAATGGAGTCGGCCGGGCGGCGCTGCTCGAGGACGACGCCGACGGTGTTTGCGAAGCGCACCGGGTTGTGCGGCGTGTTGGCGGGAAGCAGGAACATGTCGCCCTCGCGGATGATGATGTCGCGAAAGGTCGAGCCGTCGACGACCTTGAGGGTCATGGCGCCGCGGTATTGGTAGAACCATTCGGGGGTCTGGTTGATGTGGTAGTCGGTGCGGGCGTTGGGGCCGCCGACGATCTGGCGAGAGGGAGCGTGTGTCAGTGAGATGGGAGATGAGAAGTGAGAGTTGAGATATAAAGACGTCTATTCAGAAAGGAGTATGAGAAGAGAGACATGCCATGACGGTGAAATCATCGTTGTAGACGCAGTAGTTGTTGATGGGCGGCTGAAGCAGGTGAGAGTTTGCCTCGAGCCTGGTGAGCAAGACGATTAGCACACTCACATGGTTCCTTTATACACGACGAGACAAACTGGACATGTTGTCGACTTACCACTTGGGCAGGTTGACCGGCGGTCCAAGCATTTGTAATGTCGAGTGGTTATGACTCTTGCAAGACAAAAGTTGGGGTAAGTGGCTTAGTATCGACCAAACTGAAGTTGAAAGAAGCAACAGAACACTGTAGAAGCAGAGTTAACAAACAGGACGAGTCTTGATGTAAGGGAAAAGAAAAGAGACAGAGAGAGAAAAACAACTCACCAGAAAGATTGCTTTATAGCTGCACAGAATCACAAGTTGTCAGATCACAAGGGAAGAGGCAAAAAACCGAAAGTTTGTCCAAAAATGCTTGTTTATCAATCAAACCCTCCAAATTCCTCACAAGGGACTAGCCAAGGCCTTCTACTTGTATTCCGGCTCTCCGAGCTGTATACTATACAGTGCGAAGGGGGTTCATATCCCGCACAAACAGCAGCTGAATCTCGCACCGTGTGGGCGTCAGCTCGACATCATCCCACCCGGCCAGAAAACACAACAAGCTGATATTTGCCCAGATTGAAAACAAAACAATACACCATCCTGTTCTCATTCTACAGTCCAGAGCCCCTCGTCGACTCCCGCCCACTTGAGGACATTCTCCTGAGACGCCTTGAACCTACGCCTAAAAGCCCTCGTCGACGGCACGGGCCCGTTGTAATTGCCCTTTTCTTGCTGTAAGAACTTGTGGACGATGCTCGGGGTTCGTCCTTGGGGCCCGTAAAAGTTGACCAGTATCCCGTGCAGTGCGTGGAGGTGGCCGATGAAGATGTCCTGGAACTCCTTGTGCTTGGGCAAGGTAGGGTCCCGCAGCGACGGATGACTTGGGAACATGGTGAGAGTCGACAGGCTGAGCACAAAGTCGATGAGATCCTCGGACCAGGGGAGGCCCTTTCGCCACTTGGTGTAGGCCAAGGCCTTGATCCGGATCCTGATGCTGTTTATGAGGTCTCCCTGCCTCTCACACAACGCCGCCAGGGCCTTGAGCACCGTTGGCAGCGGCTCGAGGTTGTTGGGCCAGGCACCCCCGCCATAGCCAGTCTTGAGGATCTTGTTCACTTTCCCCATCTGCAGCGCGACGTCGAATGTGCTGGGCGTTGCGAATGCTTGCTTCTTGGACTCGTCCATGACATTGAACAAGGCCGCCTGTGTGTTCAAGATTTGCGGAAGCACGTCGGACTCGTTCGTGGCCTCTTTATAGTGACGATCAGACTCCACTTGACATCTGTCACCTAAATTGTATCATGTTTTATAAGTATCCGAGCTTTTCCAATTGGCCTCTTTTCGTTGTAAACGAGGCAAAGGGGGGGATTGGACGTACAGTGGCATCTGAACTGATATCTTGCCGCAATTCGCGGGTTGCGAAAGGTGAAGTCATATGCAATATCTCGGTAGCAATGAAGGAGCTCTTCACCGGCCTTGAGCTTTCGGAGAGCCCGAACCTGCACCTGAGTGCTGTTGAACACAATGACGACATTGGGATCGCAACAGTGGTTGATCAAAGCTCCCCCCAAGTCAAGGGCGTTGCCAAGAGGCGCGTTTCGATAGGTTTGATCGACCGGCAACGAGTTGCAGCGAATCTAGAAAAAGGGGGCGACAAGTTAGCCACCATCTTATGCATATATATATGTACATGCGGCCAGTCCTATTACTTCTACACCGTGGGGGAACACTCACAATACCATACAACATCAATATCTCCCTAATGCTAAGCTCGCTCTTGGTCCGTTCCTTGGCTTCGCGGGCAATGTTAAGGACCCTCGGCCAGGTTTTCTTGGCGCACCTCTCGAAGTTTTCCACCTCGTGCTCAAGCCTGGCAAGAGCTTTCACCTGCTGCGCCAACAAGACCTTCTTTCGCATCAGAATCAAGAGACGGTATAGCGTTCTCGTCTCGACGTCGGTTGACGCGCCCTTGAGCAGGCCGCATTCGTATAAATGGCCCGTATCCCAGGCTCGTTGCCAGCAAGACTACACAAAAACATGTTAGTGAGAATGATGACGAGGGAGAAGAATAAGCCCTGGCAAACGACACTGTACTTGCCTTTGAGCAGTACTGGTACATGCGGCAGCCATTGCAGATGAGGAGAGGGGGTAGAACCTCTCCAGGCTGGAGAAAGCGGTCCTCGACAGGATGAAAGACTCGTCGCCTCTGTTGGAAGCAAAAGTCGCACGCTTCCATGTGCTGGCCAACCTCTGCACACAGAACAAGCGGCACAGACGTGAAGATGAGGTCGCCCTCTGCAAGATCCCGATTGGTGAAGAGGCCGGAGCCGGCCTGGGGGAGGGTGGATTCTTTGATGCTGAGCGAGCCTTCGGGGGCCTGGACGGTGCTCATGATGTAGCTGCAGAGCGCCTTGTCCTTGTGGATGGGCCACCGCTCTTGGGTATCGAGGCTCGCATTGACCTGGTCCGGGTCCATGGTGTTGATGCTGGCCGAAAAGGCCTGCTCGATGCCATTCATTGTGCTTGTTTGTCTCTTTGACTTCCTTCCGAGTGATGGATAGTAGCAAGTTTGAATGGTTTTCCTTTGGAGACGAATTGAAAGGAGAGGGGAATCAATTTGTATGAAAAAAACGCCTGGAATCCTATGGAAGAAAGGAACAAGGCAGGACAGAAAAAGAAAGGTCATGCAAGGGGCTGGCTCGCAGTTACACCGAGGCTGGGCTCGGATGCTTCTGGTCGTCGCACAGCTTCGGCGTGGACTGATGTTTTTACGAAGCAAATGCAGCATGCAGGAGGGGGATTGAATGGGAGGATGGGGATAGACTGAGAGTGGTGGAAAAGGTGGAAAGTAGATAAGGCATCGTGATGGATTGTTTGCTGTTGAATCCCTCCCTCTTGGCCATTCTCTGTTTCAGCGCCAGCCTGCGCTGCACTGCACGAGGCCTGGCGAGTTGTCGAGATGCGATTGGCTGCCTTTTTTTTTTTTGGGATGCAATGCAGTTGCTGCTGCAGCTGTTGCTTTTATTGAAAAAATGCGCTTCTCTTGATTCTATCTTCTTCTTCCATTCAACTCCCTATATCCATCCATCATCAACCTTTACACTATATCCATTGAATGTCGTTGGATCGTCATCTCCATACTGCTAACCAGCTCCCCAAAGCTTAGTGGAGTCCCCCCGTCCCCTATAAAACTCCACTGTAGCATGGCAAAAGCTCCCTGTAGCGCCAGCGCGTCGAAGCTCCGAGACAGGCACAGGCACAAGTGCCGCAGCCAAGTACATAACCTGCTCACATGTACCTTTGCGTACCCCGGCTTAGTTGTCGCCCAGGTTCACCGGCTTGTTGCCCTCCAATGCAGCCCATTGCACTACTGCGGGTACCACTGAGTACCGGCACTTCCCCCACGGTACGCCCTTTTCTGATGGCGTGAGCTGCCCTGTGTGATGAATGGATGTTTCGGCTCCACCAAAAGCCACCGCTCTCTTTGACCGTTGCCTCGATAACAGCATCAGCTTTCAACCACCAACGTCCAGTAACTTTTCTCCCTTTCATCTTCCTTCTCTTCTCTCCATATCTCTCGTCTTTTTCTATTACTTCTGAATCTTGCTCTCAACTCCATCGTCATCACCATCTCGCCATCAAATCGCAGCTATTTTCTTTCTTCTGCACAATGGATCACAGCCATCACATGCATTCCATGGAGGGCCACGAAGGCCACGGCGGCCACGGTGGCATGGAAGACATGTGCAGCATGAGCGTAAGTCATCAACAATCCTGTCCTGCCTCTGCTACGGCCTGTAGTCCAGCTCATCAGACTCACATCGACTCTAGATGCTCTTCACCTGGGACACGACCAACCTCTGCATCGTCTTCCGCCAGTGGCACATCCGCTCCAACGTCTCCCTCGTCCTCTCCCTCATCGCCGTGGTCTTCATCGGCATTGGCTACGAATTTCTGCGCTCCCTCTCTCGTCGCTATGAGGCGTCTTTGGCAGCCCGACTGGAAACTGTACCCAGTGAGTAAATCCAAGCTTGATGCTGTATTAAACATGTCATATCCCCATCATAATACGTCCATCCCCCTTTGAGAAACGAACATGCGCATGCTAAGATGCCGTTGAGACGCCACTGCGCATGCTTATCGCGATGATGATGATGAGAACGTTACTGAGACACCCGCCTTCCTCCGCTCAGGGCAGAACCGCGAAAACGTCAGCAAGCGAGGCCACGTCATCAAGGCTACGCTCTATGCCATTCAGAACTTTTACGCCTTTATGCTCATGTATGTCCATTGATCCTCCCTGCGGACGTCTTCCTCTCCGACTCTTCTTCTAACGATTCAAGGCTCGTCTTCATGACATACAATGGCTGGGTCATGGTGGCTGTCTCGCTGGGCGCCTTCCTCGGCTACCTCTTGTTCGGCCACTCTACATCGGCCACAAAGGACAATGCCTGTCATTAGACAGCGAAACGTGATACATACCGGCCTGCTTCGATTTAAAGCAGCTTGAATTTTGCATTGGAAAGCGACAATGGCGTGTTTTGCATGCAGCAATGGCAGCCTTTTTGGCTGAGTAGAGACAGTTATACCGAGCAATGCTGTGAAGCGCTTATTCAAGGCCAATTAAACATTCAGCGTCTAAAATCTACTCCATACACAGGGGTAGACAACATTAAAGCCGACTCTAGGTTCATACAGAGACCGTGCCTTGTCCCGTGCCGCGTGCATTTCATTACATCTTTGCTGGCTTGTCTTCTTCCTTGTTCGCAGGAGCGCCGCGGTCATCCAGCGCGCCCTCCTCCTGGGCAATCTTGATGACATCGTAATCGCCAAAGTCAAGATTATGCAGCATTTCGGGGTCCTCGTCGTACGCAATCCTTGCTGCGTCGACAAGCACTCTGCCGGTCAAGCCCCAGACCTTGAACCGTCCTTGGTGATCCTGGCTAACCTCCAGCTGGTCCGCCAGCTCTATCTGCGCTGCGCTTCCCCTTCTAGGCCGTGAGACTTTCTGGTTGTTCACCGGCACGTAAAAGTTGTGCACTCTCCACTGCACCCCCTTGAAGTTTGTCCACGCGCCGTCATACCAGTGGCCCGGCGGCAGCGTCTCGCCGTGTCGAGGCGGTAGATCCTTTGCCTTGAGGAAGTTGTAGAAAGAGGCACTAAACACAGCGGCGACCTCGCGGGCATCCAACCGGGGGATCATGGAGTCTTCCACGAGAGCTGGTGGCGAGTCGGGAGAGGTGCGGTCAGCGTGGAGGAACGCAACGCAGGGAGTCACGACGAGGTGCGTCCGAGCCAACGACGGCGGGAGATTGCAGAGCTGCTCGATGCGGAACGGTTTAGGGATCCGTGAATCATCCATGGGGAGGCCAATCTCTTCAAACGCCTCCCGTCGCGCAATCTGGTCTGTTTTCTTCAGGTCAGCCGCCGCCCGCTCTTTGTCTCTGACATGGATCACATACATGGCGTTTCTTCTTTGCTATCTGCTTTCCCTCCCGGCAGCGCGGCGTGGCCCGAGAAGCTCCTCAGACTGGCCGCGCGCATGGTGATGACAACCCTCAAATCGCCCCATCGATCCGCAAACAAGAGGACCAAGATGGCCGCTCGCTTGCGCGGAGGGAGGGAATCCCACAATGGGAACGGAGGGGGTTTGTATGCTCTAAATCGGTTGAGGGCGGCCTATTGTATTTGAATCCGATCAGCAATCACGGACATGCCGGACCAAAGACGAAAAGCAACCAAAGCACAAGCACAAGCACAAGCACAAGCACAAACCGACCAGAGAAAAGGGATTCAACGACGCCATTGTCGATGCATCATAGTATAGCGACGCGCCGCTGTAATCATGCGCAACACCAACACCAACACCAACGCCCAGCGCCTCGGCGATGTGGCTCTTGACCTGCGCAACCTCGGCCTCGGACAGAGCAGCGTCAGCGTCAGCGTCCGCGTCGGTGGCGGCGTCGACTTCCGGCTCAGCGGCGGATCCGGCGATGCTTTCAGAGTTGCGCTGCTGTTCCTGAGCGGTCATTTTCCAGCGTCAGCAGCAACGCCGATTCTTGTCGCGGTGACCAGCCCTTTCCTTCTTCTCTGCCGGTTTTACAAAGAAGAAGCTGCTGGGCTTTTCGCTTTGCGTCGGGGGTTTTGTAGATGGTGAGGGAATCAAATCAAATCAACAGCGTTGCAAGGGCGGCCTATCGCATACGTGTGAGCGGGGGATCCGATGACACAAGCCGAGGAACGGGCCGACGGCCGGACGGGGCCAGTTTTTTACAAGCCGGTGATTAGTCGCGTCTTGCTCCGATCCGATTTGATTTGACTTACGGACGGACTACAGGAGGGCTTGAGCATCAATGAGAAGAGAAGAATCAAGCGTATCTTGTGCACTATTATTATTCATATAATATCCGACAAACACGACAGCACCGACATTAAATCAAGCTACAGTTATCGACTTGTGAACCCAATCAACAATTACCACCGTCTCATACAATCCGACACCATCCCCCCTACAAGAAAGCAGCAACGCCGGCAGCCAACAAGCTAAACAGCTCCAGCGGCCTCACCCCGGAGCCACCAGATATGATGGGAGACAGCGAAGGCTGAACGGGAGGCGCCGTCCCGTTGTGAGGAGGTTTATGCTCGTCATCATGTTCCTCCTCGCATTGCTTGATGCACTGCTCTCCCTCAGAGGTAAAGGGGTTGAAGCCGAGGCACTTTGCGTACTCGGAAGCGCACTCTGCCTGGTTGGCATCAGGCTTGCCTCTGCACTTATCGCGCTCTTGGCCACACTCCTTGATGTGGCGACAGTCTGGCTTAGGAGGAGGAGGAGCGGGAGTGGGAGTGATGATGGGCTTGGAGCACTTCTTCTCAATCTCCTCCGGGTCGTGCTGTCCGTCAAAGGGGTTGTAGCCCAGACATCCGGCATACTGAGAGGCGCAGTACGACATGTTGGCTCCAGGGGCGCTGCGGCACTTGTTGTACTCGTCGTAGCACTTGCACTCGTCCTGCGGCGCCTTTGTCTGCGTGGGAGCCGCCGCCGTCGTCGTCTTGGAGCACGCCGTGGGAGTTACAAAGCCGCCTTCATACGGGTTGTAGCCCAGGCAGGCGGCGTACTCGGAGGCGCATTCGGCCCTGTTGGCGTCGGGCTTGACGAGGCATGCGTCGTGGGCGGTGGTGCACTTGACGGCGCATTCCTCGGGGGTGCCGCCGCTGTAGTCGGCGAGGGCCGAGGCGATGAAGGCGGTGATGACGATGGCGGAACGCATTTGTTAAGACAAGTTGTGGTTTGCAAGTTTGAAGGATGTTCAGAGCGAGCGGATGATTGAGTTCAACGAGTGAAGGACGCTGAAGAGCATGATTGCACCCAAAGAGAAAAGCCTTGCAGTTCTTATATACCGCTGAAGTGGTCCAAGGGAGAACGAGAAGAGAACCCGGTTGGAGAAAAACAGAAAGCTGGTTGGTTGGCAGTGCTGGCATTCCAGCTGATGAGGCGAAGATGATCGGCCTTGCTTTCTGAGACAAAAACACACACAAAAACCTGGTTACCCCGTTACCCGGGAGAATGGGAATGGAGGGGATTGCCCTCGCAAACTTGGTCGGTCGATCGGCCGATGAGAAGAAAAAGAAGAAGAAGCCGCCTGTTGTGTTGATGCTTGTGATTCTCAAGGTGAAGAGTTGTCACCTAAATGATCAACAAGTACATGGGCATACAGTCCATCATTTTACACATCTGTTATTTTTTTTATCAACTACCAACATCGCAAAACAACCATTCAGTAGCAACAGCAACAAGCAAATAGTCCATCGGGCGATCGACCGCAAAACATGCCATCCCTTTCCCACATTCCTCCTCCCCTTTCCCTCACAGCCTCGACGAACAAAACATGCCTATCCCCAAGTCCCCATACCGCCTTCACCCCATTCCGAAAAGAAAACATCAATGACATACACAGCTGACGATGCTATAATAAGAAATGGAAAGTATTTGACCAAGACGGGCAGTCCCCGGCACGGCCTACTTCTCACAACATTGATCACCTTATATCGTTCGGCAAAAAAAAAAAACCAACGTTACTTCGTTCATCACCAAATCATCAAGCCCATTCCAATGATAACCAGGGCACGGGCCAAAATCCCATGCCATGCATCTCTTTTGCGCCCGTCTTTCTGCAGACCAGTGGAGTTTCTTATATATATATATCCTTTTCGGCCCGTCGCGGGATCTAACTAGATAGATAGTACTACCTCCTAAGCTTCTTTTTCGAGATCCCAGGCCCTCGTTAGCGCCGGCAGATTCATGAAAAAGGGAAACTGGCTGATGAAATCTGACGCCAAGTACATCCATCGATTGACAAGAACACTCATGGTCACACATGCGAAAATGTCACTCAGACTTGGGAATATGTATGTGCTTCAATTTCCGTCAATTTTTTATAATCCGATATTATAGTCGTTGTTTAATCCAGTATCCTTCTATCAACGACCTTTTTATATGTGTAAAATCAAGGGAAATGTGGTATATAGTCGTATACAGACAAAGGCAGTTTGCCAACCAAACAGGGGATATCCATGTGCAAGCCCATTACTCCATAAATGATGCACGAAAAAGAAAAGAGAAAAAAAAAACACAAAACAAAGAAACCAGGGAGGGGGAAAACGACAGTCCAGATAACGTCCACCATGCTTGTACATAGATTCGTGCCCATTGTTGATCATGTCTTCGTGTCGTGAATAAGACTGGGGGAAAAGATAAAAGAAAATGGAAAAAGGGGATTCAAGTTTGGGCTTTCTCTCCCGCTTGCTTTACGCAAAAACATTCTCGCTCACGGCGCCCACCTCTGGCTTAGCTTGTTGTCGTCTTCTACCGACGGTCAGCAGCCGGCCCATTTGATCCCCTGTCTTCGCCCATCCTCGCGACAGGCTCGACTCGTCGTCTCGACGCACCATGGCCGGCGAGTCTCTGCCTCGTTCTTCCTTGTGTGAAGAGCGGTCTCGGCGCCATCGGCTCCTGCTGTTTGGCCGCGAGTCGCTATCCGAGTCGCTGTCATCAAATGCACTCTTGGGTACAGAGGGCTCCTCGGGCTCAGCGGGTGGAAGAGCGGGAACAGGAGGTATCTCGACTGAACCGCTGCTGCCCACTCTCCTGGAGTGCGAGTGCGGATCAGCAGTTGTTGGCCGAACGGAAGTGGTTGCTTTCCTTCGGAGGCGAGAGAAGTGAGAGCCTGATTTGAAGCTCAAGATGGAAGACCGCCTGCCCATGGACTCCGCGGCATTGACCTCATCGAGGCTAGTCTTTGGCACCGCCGAAGTGGCCAGCTCGACAGCAAACTTGTGATACTCGGCCATGTCGTCCTCACTGTCCTCACCTTGCTCTTCCTCCTCCTCGTTTGATGGCATGAAACTATCCTCCTGCGCCGCAAGATGGCCTAAGCCATCCTGGTCAAAGATCCGGGCGCTTCGGCGGCGACGAACAGAATTCTTAGAGCCCAGGGGGAATGCAGACGTCGAGTGCGGCGATCCCGGCCCCCAAGAGCTCTTCTTGCTGGACAAGCTGGTCATGCCATCGTCGTCTTCCAAAACAGGGATGAGCGCTTCCTCTGGAAGCTGCAAAAGAGCGGCCTGATTCGGGGCAGATGGGTCCTCAAAGCTTCGGCTGCTTCGAATGACGGCCTCCTTCTCGGTCGCCTGGGAAGTGATGCCGACGAGATTCGGAGCGTCGACGTCGAGCCCCATGAGCTGCAGCACCTTCTTTGACTTTCGGTGCCTAAGGCTAGCCACAGGGCTGGGGAGATTCGACTGGCGAGCGGGATGGGCGTTCTTGACGGGGGTGCTCGGGGCTTGGCGGGGCGAGAGCGAGGGCGAGGCGATTCGTCTCTCAGCTGCAGCTTCAATTTGCGGCGCATTCTTCGGTCCCGGCCCCACTGGCAGGGCAGCTGGTTTGCTCCCGCGCTTGTTGATCTTGAGAGGAGGCGGAACAACAGCCGAGCTGTTGTTGTTGTTGTTGTTGTTGTTGCTGTTGCTCATGGGGGGCAGAGGCGGCAGAGGCCTCTTCACATAGGCGTCGGCATTGTGTGGCTGCAGCGCCAGAGGCGTCACCGGCCGACTAGTCAAGACAGGCAGATCCCAGGAACCCAGCGTCGAGGGACTCAGTGGTGGATCGGAGCTGGACCTCAGGTGGAGCATCTTTCGGCAGTCAAGTGAATTATACCCAAGGACCAACAAACTACTAGATCTAGTGGCAGCTAGATGAGCGAGTGGGAAGAAGTTGGTAATTCAGCTTGAGCCCAAGACTGGCCTGCTCGAGATTTGTTAATGAGGGAGAAAAGGGCAGAACAAGCAGAACGGCGGGCACACACCTGGTATAAAACAGATGGACAGGCAGAACCCGAGGCAAGCAATGTCCAAGGCAGGGTCAGGCAATCCCAACGGTACCCACGTGGAAATGGGTGCACCGGCCTCTGGGGTATAAAATTGACAGTGACAGCGATGGAGCAGCAAAAACCACACCACGGAGTCTGTGCTTGGAACCACCCCCACAAGGCCACCCCCTTCGATTGCTAAGCTGTGAGAGACGGAACGCACAGATAGTATAAGTGATTGATGCGAATTGGTCCTGCGGATGTGCATACAAAGCGTGAATATGTTGGAGAGAGGGGAAAGAGGACAGACAGTGAGGAAGAGAGCCGCGGAGACAGATGGGTGTGAGCGTGAGTGTGTGAGCGTCGGGAGCAACAACGCGGACGTGTGCTTGTGATGCACAAAGTCGTACCGAGATGCGAGAACCAACTCGATATACGTATACCTCAGCGCCTTTGTATTCCGGATGGTGATACACAAAGGACGAATACCAAAAGTACATGCAACGTATACCCGTACAAATCCCAAGGGGGCGTGGGTGCAGGGCGTGGATAAAGGAACAAACAGTACAAGTAAGATCATCAGCAACCTCATCCGGCATGGCCGATCATCACTGCCGAGTGGAGGAACGATTGCCCGCACCTATGCAACAGATTGGCAGGGCAAACGAACCGTCGACATAAAGGGAATGTACTGTACGGTAAGCCTGCTGGCGATCGTCCGGAGGAATATGAACAAGGCCGGACAAGAAGAAGAAGAATGTTTGCATCTTGGCCGTTCAAACGACAAAGGCCAGAGCGACGGCGGCGGCAGGAATCAAGGCAATGAGGAGCAAGAATCGTCATGCCAACGACATGCACGCGGCCCGTGACCCGCCCGAGGGGAGCCTTCATCCTTTGCCAAGCTTGCACAACCTTCTGGGGGAATGCAGCTCAAGATGCTTGTAAGGCTGCCTGGCCATGGGCTTCATCTTCGTCGGGTTTTCGGTGTGTCATCCTAAATGGCCCGTGTAACATCTTCAAGCCGCTTTGTCTCTTCCTTCTCCAGCCTTTTGTCCTATCAGCACAGACGAAACATGCAGGCCGGGCAGAGAAACGGGCGTGTGATGGGTTCCCATCATTCCAGTCTGACCTGCCCATCGACACACTTTGCCTCATCCTCATCCTCCCTGCCTCTGAAGCCTCTCGCCTCGGTCGACGGCCCAGCGTCCCGTGCCTCGTACTAGCAGTACCCGTATCCAGGGCTCCCATACGAATATACCCGGACGAGTATTTTCCCCCCGTTTATGCAACATGGTGGTAATCCTTGAGTCTTCCCAGCATACGAGTGCTGCAGCTCGTCGGCCTGGAACGCAATTTCGCTTTTGCATCTTCAAGGCCCCTTGTCCGGGACATGCATACCATTCACCCTCACCCTCGCCGTCGCACCGCCCCGACGGACATACATTCTTCTCCGTACGGAGCACGTAAGCTGGCCCAGTATCAGTCTTTCGCGGCTCCATGCAAACTCTTCGTCTGCCCATGTCTTGCTGCAACGTTCTGTCGCACCGCCAACTTCTGTCAGTCGACTAGCTCAACCCAATGCACCGGAATGGAGCACAGCAGGCGTGCCGTTGCTGACGCTCTCGTCTAAACTGGTCATTGCCTGCAGGGCATTGACCTGGGAGCCCCTCTAACGGGGACTCGGTATCCAGACATGGGCTCCTGGTCCTGTCCGCTTCGGGGAGGTCTCTTTTCCAACCCCTTCCAACCCCCAACGCCTGACTCTCTGTGTCTTTCATTTTGCATGGCGAGGCCCCCATGTCGCTTCCAAAACAGCCCTCCTCTCCTCCCCCGAGTGACGTCTCATCATGCGAAGCAGACTTGAGACGCAATGCACGTGGCGCAGGCGCAGAAACTTGTTGCATGGGCATGTTGATTTCGAAGTCGCGTGGCCCCCTGAGCAATTCAACTCATCCCTGCGAGCGGAGTCCGTGGAGAGCAAAAGGCGTGCTCCGTACCTGTAGGCCAAGCAATTTTTCTTGATCCGTAATATCTGCTGGATCATCGCTTTTTCATGCTCACAACTGATTGACGGAGTTTAGGACTCAATGCAACCAGCGGCGGACTCGGGCTCATTTCGTTTGCCTGTGTAATCATCCTGATTATTCTCCGCGTGGGGGCTGCCCACTGCCTGTCAAAATATTCGCCTGTACTTTCTCGGAGTACGAGTAATGGTAGACCCTCGCCTTGCCTGTGTCTTTAATTTGCGTTGTCAAATAACCGTCGATGCCGGTGATAATTGCCCGCGCGCCAACTGACTGGTCGGAGAAAAAGACCCAACATCGTCTAGCCGACCTCTCTTGTTCCTCCAATCAATCATAAGCATATCGTTCGCTTTCGTCCCAATGGTGGTACGACGGCCGGCATTTGACTAGCCCTGCATCTGTATTCATACGCTTGCCAAGCTCCTAACCTCCCGCCCCCAATTTCTTCGGACCCCTTGTCCCAAGTATGAAATACCAGTACAGGCAATGTGTGTGCAAAGTGCTAGGGAATACCGAGTGGTCCGTAAATGTCTATATAAATAGAAAAGACAAAAAAACAAAGATTACCAAATGTATCAAGCCCAAGTACGCCAACTGCCATATACAGAATATAATGTCTCCTAAAAATAGTCCCTTGTCTCTGTCTCTGTCTCTGTCTCTGTCTCTCTCTTTCGCCAAAAGTGAACATGACAAACCTCAAGTCTTTGTACTGCAATCGTTGCTTAGTCGTCATCGTCTTTCCCCTGATAGTCGCCCAACAGGATATCGTCAATACCGAGGCCCGTAGAGGAATTCCTAATCCACTCCGTCTCAACGCGGAAGAATATCCACATCCACCGCCGGAACACCTCGAGTAGCTCAATCAGGAAGATTCCGCTCTCGTAATCACTGAATTTGTCAAGATGTGGACTCAGCTTCATCGACCACGAGCAACGCAGCATGAAATCGAGGCCGATGACAAAGTAGTACAGGCCAGCCGAGCGGAAGACGAGCCGATCACGCAGCCCCCACGGGTGGTGCACTGATGCTCGCTCTCGCGACGAGAAGAGTGTCAGATCCCAATCTTTGGCAACGTCCCAGTAGAAGGAGTAGAGCGAGTTGACCAAAACGGCGACCAGCCAAGCTCGGTGCAGCGCGACCACGTCGCTCTCTGGCCCGGCCCCCCTTTGCATGGCGCTTGTGATGATGACGGGGAATGCGGTAGAGTACTTGAGAGCGTTGGCCAGGTGTTGGCCACCCCAGCCCGAAGACTCCTTGTACGGGGCCCGTCGAACTCTCAGGTACTCGATGAGGCACTGCCGGAAACGGATGATGCTCGGCACAGCCATGAGCAGCGGGACAAAGAACGTCCCCCCGCAGCTCCTGTTGGGATGGTCCGTCGAGGAGCCTCCGGCGCTGAAGAACATGCACAGCGTGACGAAAACGTCTCCAAACACCTTGGCATACGATGTCAAGACATCAGCCAGCAAGATGTCTCCAAATTTGCCATCCTGCGCCTCTGCAATGCCGCCAATGCTCACCCGCCGCAGCGTCGCAAGGAAGCGCCTTCGACCACCGGTAGGCAGATTTCGCAAAGGAACGAAGAAGATTGCCACCAGCACGACCAGGTACGTCATTGGCATCCAGTCGTAGGCAATGACCCGGGCTGGCACGTGCCATGTGCACAGCCAGAACAGCGTAATGGAGAGCGAGAACAGCGCCGTCAAGACTATGGAGAGTCGGTATGTAGACAGATGATGCGATATATGCTGCGGCGAGCTTCGTCCAGGGTATCGGATCAGGGCGGGAACGTCGATTCGGAAGCTATGCAGCCAATGGAGGTTAAGGCCCCATCCCCAAACAGCTATTCAGCATGCCGTCAGCATTATCAATGCCCTCGTAGAAACATTGTTTCCCAAGGGGGTGCAATCGGGACTAACCTAGAGTGACGATAAAGCCGACTCGGTAGGGCAGAGGAAACGCCAGGCTGAAGGCATCGAGCTGAGGCTCTACGGCCGGATCGCCATCCATGATGGAAACGTGTTGTCGACCCAATTGCACCCGCAAAGAAGCATGAAAGGGATAGACATGGAGCGAGCGCCTCTGCGATTGATCCCGTGAGGTTGGCGAACGAATGGCTGCGCTCTTGCTGCGCACGCTTTGTGCGTTGGTCAAGGCCAATGTCTGGGTAATAGTTCGATGAGGACGGGAGAAGTGATATTGATGTCTGAGGCGTCAAAGGACCAAGCTGTCCCTTGCATTTTTTGGCGCCAAAATTAAAGGGTAGGTGCGGAAAAAGGTCCCTGCCGCAGCGCAATCTAGCATCAATACGTCACTGCCAGGCTAGTTTCTTACCTTAGTAGTAGTGGTATGGAACTTGAACTGTAACGGCACTGAACAATGCCGAGGATTCTACTGCGACTAGTCCAAACAACAGTAACAAGCATCAATAATCAAACTGATCTTCTGGCATATCTGATCAAAGGATCAAGGTTATCTAGACTCCGGTACTAATGCCACATGATATTAGCTAAAGATTGATGAAACAACCAGATAGAATAATGGTAGTCTTGAGTATCGTCTTTCAACAAATCTCCAGAAGGACTAAGCCATCTCCAATCAAAGTATTTTCCCCACGCATCAACTACCTTTGCTTTTAATAGAATTCTTGAAAATAACATTCACCATATTCAAAAACATGTCTCTTCATACTCACAATAAAGCAATTGCTCTCAATCAATCTACTTTAGCACCAAGCGCGAGTCTTGTTGTATCTGCATGTCACCACATGGCTTCGGGCAAATCTTCCCTAGCCTAGCCAGATTCAACGGCACCCGCCACATGGGGCTCTACTCACTGTCCCGAGGTCCAGCTCGTAGCGCTACAGTACAGCCGAAAGCCCAAAACCTTCAGCTTCCAAATCAACATCCATCCTTTCCTCGCAACGTTTCGCCATCCAAAAATACCACCCCTCTAACACGCAATCCATTTCAACACACAACCATTGCGATTTCCCTCTAAATCCCATACAGCGAGCTTATCGCGTCGAAGAGAGAGATAGTGCGAGAGAGAGGATAAAAAAGGAGAACAACCATGGCCGCCACCACAACAATAACAACACCATCGTCAACACCATCACCATCACCACCACAATCCTCATCCTCCACAACGACGCCCTACCCCTTCGCCGCAGCCCCCGACATCGTCCGCTCCCACCAAAAGGACGCCTACTTCACCGGCCAGCTCTCAAACTCCTTCACCGACCTCTACCGCCGCCTCTTCGGCGCCCGCTCCGCCCACTCCCTCGCCCCCGAGCTGCGCACCGCCGCCTCCCTCCTCTACTTCGGCCTCACCACCCTGCCCGGCAACCGCACCCTCGGCGAAGAATACTGCGACCTCGTCCAAGTCGACGCCGGCGCCAGCCTCTCGTTGCCCGCTCTCCCCTCGCGCGCCGCCTACATCGTCGGCACGATCCTGCTCCCCTACCTGGCCAGCCGCATCCTGCCCGGCCTGCGCGCCCGACTACGAGCCCTGCTCGACCGTCGCCTCGCTACTCTGAGGCAGCAGGGCAAGGCAAAGACGCGCCAGGCTCGCTTCCTCGACTACCTCTCCACGCACCTCTCCTCCGTCACGTCCGCCGCGCCGCTGCAGGCCGTCGTCCTCGCCCTCTTCTACTTCAACGGCACCTACTACGAGCTCTCCAAGCGCCTCCTCTCCCTGCGCTACGTATTCACCCGCACCGTGCCCGACACCCCCGACCGCGGCGGCTACGAGCTCCTTGGCGTCCTGCTCGCCATCCAGATGGGCGTCCAGGCCTTCCTCCACGTCCGCGAAACCTTCTCCTCCGTCGCCTCGGCCCAGCGCGAGAGGGCCGCCTTCCACTCGGGCGAGCTTGACGTCTCGCTCAGCCACAACAACACCTATACCGCATCCAACAATGAGCTTTTGCTCAGCGGAAGCAACGGGGCCCCGGCTAGCAAGGTAGACATCGCCACGACAACACACACGCCCATGAGCGGCATCCCAAGATTCCATCTCGAAAACGAATCCACCATGGGATACATCAAGGGGAGCCAACAGCGCAAATGCACGCTGTGTCTCGAGGAGATGAAGGATCCCGCCGCCACCCAATGCGGGCACGTCTTTTGCTGGGAATGCATCGGCGACTGGGTCAGAGAAAAGCCCGAGTGTCCTTTGTGCAGAAGAGAGGCCATGGTACAGCACATTCTCCCCTTACGCGTCATGTAGCGAAACTTCTTTTCAAGGTAAAAATCAGATGTTCTTGGAAAGCTAGGCTGTAATACTCCATACATGTAGTAGTAATACGTTGTTTGCAGGAAATGAAAACAAGATGTAGAAGAAGGACAAGGTCAAAACACCAAATAGATATGAAATAGAGCAGATGCCTTGTTCAGGCTTGTCAGCCAGTGATCCACCTCTTATGCCATCATACACAAATGAAAAAGGAAAGAAAAAAAGGACAAAATAAATAAAACAAAGAGAATTGAAGCTTTCCCATCACACATTCCCTCCTTCATGGTATCATTCATCTCCGTCATTACTGCCCTCAATGCCCGTCTTTCCGTCTCATACCGCAGTATTAATGCCACAAGATTAGTTGACGACTCCCGTTCCATGAACAGAGCGCAGCCACCTCTCGCAAACCCCAAATGTTTGCTCCGCAGTGGCGCACCCTTTGCCACAGAAATTCGGAAAACGTTGTCGTCGATGTTGATGTTGTTACAGGGGGGGAAGACCAAGTGTGCCCGTCTATCCATGACCCTTTAGAATAGTATGACAGATAGAAGACATAGTAGTACAGTTCCGTTCCGGCCAAACATAGAAAAAACGCTGTCAAAGAAAGCAAGATGATCCAGCAAAACTCCTTGTATCCAAGTAACACTGAGCAAGATCCGCCCCTTGGACGAAGCCGTCGAGTTTTTGTTTTCCTTTTTTTTTTTAAATGGTATAGTCTTTTTTTTTGTTTGATTTCTTCTTCTTGTTTATTCACAAAAGAGAACAATTTCGCCTCGGTCGTTGCGTCGAAGTCGCAGTGATCGCCACAGTTCCTTCTCTTCCTTGCCCTTGGGGGAGCTAGAGCCGGCGGCTTGGCGCTCCCGGTGGAATCGCTTCAGGGTCTTGTTCATGCTGCAGCCGCGCTCGCTCTCAGGCCCCTTGTTGACGAAGCTGAGGAAGACATCGGCACGGGGCTTGAAGACAATCATTTCCCCTCCGTGGTTCTCGTGTTTGCCGTCCTTGGAACCGGGCCGGAACTCGATGAGCTTGGGCTCCTTCTTCTCATGCTTGTGGGAGGAGTGCTTCTTGGAAGAGGACTTGTGCTTGCTCGACTTGGTCTTGGGTGGGGGGCCAGAGATCATGCCAAAGAGGCTGGTGCTCATCTGGTGGTGATGGTGGCTCTTGTGGTGTCGAGAGTGCTTCGTCTTCTTGAGCGGGCTTGTTGGGGAGAGATCGGCAATGTTGTCCCCAGAGTAGTCGGGTGAGGGTGGGAAGGCAGGTCGCATCATGTTCTTCAGGCCGCCAGTGAGACCAGAGTGAAGGACGGGAGGTGCATCAGCCATGATTTGGTCGCCAGTAACGTCGACGTGCAGGCGCTTCCGCTTCTTGTCCTTCTTGGCATCGCCGTCCTTTGATCTCCGTCGCTCGGCCTTGGGTTGAGGGGTGGCGAGAGAACCTGTGGGAATAGGGCCGGTTCCGTATTGTACAAGCGGCTCTCCGTCTCGGTCCATAAGAACCGGCTCGAGGAGCTCTCCGCTCTTTGTCTCGTAGCGCACAAGAGAGGTGCTGTCGCTGGGGCCAGGAGCCTTTCGGTCTCGCGGATGGCTCACGTTTGAGGCAGTCGGGGTTTGAGAGTTGTCCAGAAAGTCAAAAACGTTGACGTGGTCATCGTCGGCGGCAGATGGGGGGGTTGGCGCCTCGGGGGGAGGTCGAGACTTGTCCTCGTACTCGTGCCACGACTCGTATTCTTTGTCTTCGCTGGCATCCTCGACAAATGGTTGCAGGGCCAGCGTGTTGGCCATGCCTAACCGGTGCGAGTTCATGGTGGGCTGTTGTTGATGTTGATGTTGATGTTGCTGCTGCTGCTTCTTGTTTTGCTTCGGCTTATACAATGCGCCTTGGTATTTCTGCTCTTCTGTCATGCAAGTCTTGAGGGGTGCCGTGTTAGCCCTACCAAACAACAACCCCAGATTCGAGTCAGAGTCAGAGTCGGGACTTACTGTATGAGAACGATATTCGACGCCGGGAAAGTATACCATGCAATCAATACAGGTAAAGGTTGCGCCTCGACAGCGGCTGCGATGAGGGTCAAGTTTCTTCTTGGTTAGGACGTCACCGCACTCCTATATGTAAACAAAGTCAGAGGGACAGGTCGAGGTCGAGGCCGGGAATTGATAAAGAGACTAGTGCAATGCAGAAGAGGTGATGCGAGATGTGGATGGATATATGAAAGCGCGGTTGCGGGTAGGGGGAGGGGGAGGGGAGTTTGCGAGACAGGGGAGTGGACCCGAGGGATCAGCGGGACGCAGCAGAAGGGATGCTTGAAATAGTGTTGCTCGTCCGGCGCTGGACGAGTAATACTAGCAGCCGGGAGGGTGGTGTGTGTAAAGCAAGTGATGTCAGGCTATGAATAGGGCCAAGGCATATCGCATGTTGGAGAAAGGCGACCAGGGGGGGCGAGCGCAGCGCCACGGAAGGGAATGGCAGAGGCCAGGCCAGGGGACTAGCCAAAGCATGGGATGGGGATGGGGACGGGGATGGGGATAGACAGCATTAGACAAAAAGCATGTAAGTTGGTTAGTGCGTACCTCACACGAGAAGGAAACCATGTTTGCGTCGCGATTGATTGGGCGCCCGTAAAAAGTTTGCCGGTTCCTGGATTCTGAGTGGCCGCAGGTCTTTGTTCTTGTTCTCTTCGACGGGGGTTGCGATTCGACGACGAGCGGATGGAGAACGAGGTGCAGCGGCTGCGGCAGCGTCAAGGTAGGCAGGCAGACGGGATTCCAGCTGCGGAAGAAGACGCCGGGATTCAGCAGAATTTTCCTGATGTGCTTTGTTTTGGTCGCAGAGGCAGCTGGGCAAATCGAATGCGCGCAGTGCTTCGTGGCTCGCGGAGACGCAAGGGGGTGCTCTGTGCCTTGTTGGAGGAATGCGTCTCAGGATTTGAGGGCGTGCGAAAGAGCAAAGAGAAGAAAGAGAAAAAATTGCAAGGAGGAAAAAATCGAATCCGATAGGCCTGGCCCTTTGATCAACGGGAAGAGGGAATGGAAGTGGGCAATGGGGAATGGAGGGGCGATTTAGAGAGGGGGGGAGGGGAGCAGAAAAGCCGCCAAGCAAGGCCTGGGTCGTATGTAGTAGTGCCGGGGAAGTAAGTGAGAAGTGGCAGTGAGATTGATGGAAGTGAGACGAAGGGGAAGAAGCTTGAATTGATAGTCGGCAGCTGGGGGGGGGGGGGTTTATTTAGGATTGAGTGAGTCTGGACTCGAGGCAATACAAATGTTGGGCTTTTTTTTTTTTGGTGGTGAGCGAGGGAAAGGCGGTAGAGATTTATCGCCGTTCCAGTTCCGTTCCTGTTGTTGCTGGTATTGAGTGCCCAGGTGGTGATTCCCAGGCCAGGTGGTGCCTGTAATAGTGGCGGTAGGTGCTAAATGGATGCTGCCAACTGCACTAGAAGCGCGAAATGGATGGTGGATGCCACCCTCCAAGAATGGACTGCCAGAGTTTGTTGTTCCAGTCCAGTCGCTTTTATCCTGTCGCCAGGCAAGGCGGCTACAGCTCGTCGTACTTGTACAGTACAGCTGGCCGTGGCCTCTGCCTGCGCCGCTGCACAACGACGTCGTTTGGCGGCACAGACCCATGAAGTTTTTCTTCTTTCTTCTCTTTCGTGTTCCCGTCCTGGCCCGTTCCGGCCGCTGGGATCCCTGTTGGGCAGCGGTAGGGCTTCTCTGTGGGAGCAAGCGAAAAAAATGCAAAAACCGCACGGAAAATCCTGCCTTGCTGCGGTGAACGGCAGAGAACCCAGATCTCTTTGTTGCCACTTGTTACACGCACCCCAATCCAGCTCCCAAACACACGCCCGGCAACCAGGCGCCACAAGTCGAAACTCGAGTGAAGCAGCGCGGCGATTGGCTGCAGAGCTTCATTTCCAGCAACGGTCACATGAGCTAATCACTGCAGATGCACGCCCCGGCGTCGTCTTAGGCCCGTCTAGTGCACGGCGATGGCGACTTTGGGGCTCTGCTGGCGATGCCGCCCAAGCAGTTGTTTGGCAGGGAACAGTCAAGGCAACAATCGCTTAAAACCCTACCGTCGACGTGGATATCGTTTTGTACCACAAAACCGAATTTTTCTCTCTTTCATGGCGGCCCAAGACGTCGGTGATGACGGTGATGACGACGACCGTGTCCGAGCCTTGCCGTGGTCGAGAAGAGAATGAGAGAGAAAAAACAGGCGGTCTCTTTGTTGTGCAGCCACGGCAGAAGCACAAGCACCTAAAAGTCATGGGGGCCAAAGGAGTGTGTCAACAAAGGACTCCATCTGGTGCCGGTGCGAGCGAGTGCATACGTGTATGATCACTGACGCAGCTTGCGAGCTGCTGTTTAGAGAAACTCGCGGCTGCAAAGGCGAGAAGCCGTCATCACCGCTCTCTTTTTTGATACCCCATAACCCCATGCCGGTGCCTGTGCCTCGCCTCACTCAGGCTCAACAGGACAAGACAAACGAAATCTTGGCAGGATGGTATGGCAGCATCGTCGCAGGTAAAGAATCCATCCTGCGAGCGCCAACATCAGCGCCAACGCAGACGCAACGCAATGTGAGGCATGGAGAGCCAACCGACCCCGTCAGCAATCCAACTGGACGCTGGAGAGACGGTGCCGGCGCCTCGTCAGCGCCACCGGCCAGGGATGGGAATGGGAATAGTAGTAACAGACGGACAGACAGACGGACAGACAGACGGACAGACATAAACAAGCAGCCCATGTCGACGCAGGGACGGGCCCAATCCACGACGTGACTGTGATGCGCGTCTGCCATCTTGCATTGCACCTTGGAAGGGGGAGGCTTTTGGGGCTGCGTCAAGCCCCCCATTTGCCCAGCTTGCCTGTCCTGTCCACAACGAGTCTCATGGATCACCCAGATGCAGCCAGGTCCTGCTGGGTTGGTGCTAAGGCTAAGGTAGTGCATGCATATTCCGTTCCATGGAATGGAGCAGGCTAACGAGAGACGGGGGATGCGGATGGGTATTCCGGGTGTGTATTACGGAGTGCTGCTGGTACGAATGATATGGACGACTGGAATCATCTGTCTGCTACGGTGCTCGTACTGCTGCTAAAAACAGGTACGAGATCATATGGAACAAAGCCTTTTACTGCCTCTAGCCCGTTGGCCCAGGCTGGCTTATCAATGTCTCATGCTTCGGTCTCGACATTCTGCATGCCCACCCAGCAAACACGCGATAACGATCGTCGACCGCCTCTCGCCATCCACCTCACGCGCTCCTCGTGCCACCGGCCGCTTGCCCACCTCCAAGATTCCGCCAGAGGTCATCTGTAACATTTAAAATGAGATGCGCGGCACGTGTGGCGACTGGATGCGCAGATGGATGGATGGAAAAGGGCTCCGTCCATGATGCTAGCAGAACTTGCAGCCAGCAACTGGACCGACTAGATACCGCATGCCTGCTTCTGGTCGGTGGAGGGAGGCATGCATGCTGCATCATGCATGTCTCAGAAGCCAGGGCGGGATGGTGTCAAGTGAATACGGGCATGATTGTCTATCCATCCGCTTCAAACGACTCATCATTCAGGTTCGGTACGGAGTTGCGGGCTAGCATTTTCATGATTGCCGCCGCTCGAAGGCGAGAGACAAAGTCGCCGCCCAGCAAGGAATGGCGTCGCATCGAAATGCTGCCACAATGTTTCAGACTGCTCAGACACCAGGCGAATGAGAGCAGCGGAGCGGCCAATCTGAATCCCTCAGCCAGGCCCGGCGATGCATGGTGATGAATGAGGTCAATATTGGTACGGTACTAGACTATAGTAGCTAGCCCCGTGTGGTTTCTGCGACACAACCACCACGGCAGAGAATTGCTAACGAGCTACTGGGACATCCGTTTCGCCCTGCTTATTGTCATGTCTCTATCCTGGCCGGGGGCCACCTACTCGAAGCGGGATCTTCTGTCCGTTGCCTCCAGTTATGCAGGTCCAGAGGCGCATTGCTTGCAAGCGAGTCAAAGGAAGAGGCACGGCGCCTGGGCGGTGCAGAGCAGATGCAGCTACGGGTTACAGCTGCTCGTACATACTTGTGCAGTCAAGCCACGGCTAATGCTGCTTTGCTCATCGGACCATGCTTGGTACGGATGTTGTCGAATGTTGGTCCTTGATGAATCTTTTAGAATGGGAGTTGACGATGGTGGCATTGTGAATGTGGATGGATAATTGTTTTAGCAGGTAGTTAACTGTACGTCTCCAAGTGACTTACATTGGCTACAAGCATAAGACGCAAGGTCACGTTCAAGTCGGCAATCCCTCATCCGGGCTTGCGCATATCGTATCACTCGTATCAAGCATTGCTACACATGAAATGTGATTCATCCGAGTCATTGCCATGGCCGGTGAAAGATGAAGATGACACCGCTTCTGCGGTCTGTGGTCTCTGTGTGCGCATCAGCCATCAAGCTCGTCAGCAATCAGCTGTTTGTCTGAGGTGAGGCTGGGCTGAAGCTGCAGCCGGTCGGCGGGTGCATGATGCAGAGCGTTTGCATTGCAGCAGCGTCCATCCAAAATCCCTTCTTTTAGCTTCTCGAGCAAAGCCAGCTGTCAGCCCTTCATCTTGTGTCGCCAATGACAAATCTGCTGTGGTGGGCTGCCGAGGCAAGATGGAGAGTGGGAGTAGGCGGTCCGGAGGTAGGGAGTACCTTGTGGAGAGGCCGCAAATGGCGCTGCGGCTAAAGTATCGGGTACCGATATTCGCAATCAAAGCGCAATTCCAGAACAAGAACCTCCCCCGGATTTCCCAGATCTTTGGGCCTCAGCTCACTCGTGCTACGACTAGTGACGAGTTTAGTGTTGATAGTGCCAGGGCAGCTGCTCGGCCCGCGAGAACCTCAGTTATACTACCCAGCAGCCCAGCGCTTCCCTTCCATGTTAGTGTCAGTTTGGCAGGCAGCGCTTAACGAGGCCAATTGGGCCTGGAGAAACCATTGAATGGATCTCCATCCAACGCTGGCGGCTAGCATTCTGGCCTTTTGCCCGAATCAAATCACGGCAGAGGGCTCGAAACGCGCCCACGATGCCCTGCAGGGCAGCCTGGCCACCGCTCGCGCCTGGCGGAGATTGAGCGTTTCCACTCCAATTTTCGTTGCAATCACAGCGCTGGAGCTAATCAAATACTAATGCTACTTGCTCGTACCGTACTGTAACCAGATGCGCCGATGCCGATGCAAAAGATGACGGAGCATCTAACCGGGAAAGCAACGGTCCGTTCTGGCTCCCTGGATTTCATTTGCGTTGGGGAACTTTTTCGGTGGATTGATTTTTTTTTCTCTTTCCCTTCTCCCCTCTGACTCTCCCTCTCCCTCTCTCTCTTTTCTCCAATTCCTGGATTCTCACATCACGCTCCTTTTTTATTTCTTTTCAATCCTTTTCCTTCGACTCTCCCTTTCCCTCTTCTGGCGAAACCCGGTCACCGACTCGACGCTGATGAACGCAATGCAGCCTTGACAAAGGAAACACAACGATTCGACCTCGCCTCCAGGCAGCGGCATAGCCAATCTGCACGGTGGCGTCCAGCTCAACTGCAACCAGCGGCCGCGAGTAGATCCACGTCGACTAAGCTGACCTGTCGTTATAACCTATAACCTATTATCCTTATCATTTTTTTTAATTTCATCTGCCTTCATTGGCTTTTCTCGACGTCCTCCCGCCTCTCTTCCGACACCCCTGACCGACAGCAAATTGTTGGCGCTTCCCGAACAAAGAGGGTGGGCAATCGGCTGAACCGTGCCACAGCAGTCGGGTGGATTAAACGCCAATATCAATCTCAATCTCAATCTCAACGAGCGCTGGCCTCCTATCCCGAACAGCTCGCCTCACTTTTGTTCAGACCGGGCCCTCTTTTTTTCCTCTTTTATTCCCGAGTACTACTACATGTTGTCGTGTCATCGGGCTGAATTGCTGTGGCTTGGGTATGGGACCACATGCGATATTCAATCCGACGCTCGGCTGCATCACCTTCTCCCAAGAATGGAAAGATGACCCCAAACTCCAACACACCCCCTCCCGGCGCAACAAACAATAATCACCACCACAACAACAACATGGCGAACGGCTACTTTGGCCAGACCGCCTCTTTCCTGACCTCTGCGGCGGGCTACATGCGCCTGCCAGCTCTGGCCTCAACGGTAAGCCAGCAGCGACATGATGCATTGTGCATTTGCGTCTGCATCTGCATCTGATCTCGCCATTGCGATTGGAGAGAATCTCGACTGACCGCGAACCGTGACTCCAACAGGGCATTGTGGCCATCCTCACATCCCTCCTCTACTTTAAACAAAAGTGCGTCGAGCTTACTCTTACTCCCCTCCCCACCGTCCAACGTCGGCGCTGGCATTCCTCCTCTCCATCGCGGGCATCGAGCTGACAGTTCACCGTGCAGGGCGCTCATTTATCCCTCTCATATGCCGCCAAACTCTCGAACCGACATCCCACGACCTACGCAGTTCGGGATCAAGGATTTCGAAGAGCTGGTGATCCCCACCGACGATGGCGAGAAGCTCTCGGCTTACTACATTCGCGGCCCCCGTGGCGGCAAGAACTCGGACATCACAATCCTCATGTTCCACGGCAATGCAGGCAATATCGGTCACCGCCTCCCCATCGCGCGCGTCTTCATCAACATGATTGGGTGCAACGTCTTCATGCTCGAGTATCGAGGATACGGCGCCTCCACGGGCGAGCCAGACGAGGCGGGCCTGGGAATCGACGCCCAGACCGGGCTCAACTACCTGCGCGAGCGAGCAGAGACGAAGAACCACCGCTATGTTGTTTACGGCCAGAGCCTCGGTGGAGCCGTCAGCATCAAGTTAGTGGCCAAGAACCAGGACCGGGGCGACATTGCGGGTCTGGTACTGGAAAATACTTTTCTCTCCATGCGCAAACTTATTCCCTCGGTTCTTCCTCCTGCCAAATACTTTACGCTGCTGTGCCACCAGGTATGGCGCAGCGAATCCCTCTTGCCGTCCATTGACAAGATTCCCATCTTGTTCCTCAGTGGACTGCAAGATGAGATTGTCCCGTAAGTCTACACTCTACTCTCTTTTCTTCTTGCTTTCCTCTTGCCCGGATCATATGATGAACAAAATTGCATCACCCACAAAATCTGAACCACTCGTGGCTCTGATTAAAAAATCTTTTTATCAAACCCTGAACGATCCTACCCAAAACAACCTTTTTTTTTTCACCCCAAAATACGAGTGCCGGATATCATAAATTGACAAGAGATATCCGTCCAGTCCCAGTCATATGACCCAACTGTACAAGGTCTCCACCTCCCCCAGCAAGACGTGGAAGACATTCCCTGGCGGCGATCACAACTCGAGTGTGCTAGAGGAGGGTTACTTCGAGGCCATCTCGGAGTTTATAGCTGACGCCGTGGGCAGCAGCGCACCCATCACGGACAGCAAAGGCCAGTGAATTGGAGCTGCACCTCGCCTGTTCTTGATATAACCACCAGTGGATCATGGCGATGGCTGTTTATATCTGCATCAACGGGCCTCTGCAGAAACGCTCTGACGCGTCTTTCTTGTTTGCATGCTGACCCCGTATACGCACAGCAGACGCAGCAAATGGGAGATGTCAGTTAGATAGAAAAGAGGGCGGCCCGAGGCGAGACAGGCCAAGCGGGTGGGATGTATGTGGTTCCCGTGCCCATGTGACGATAATATTGGAGAGAGTGTGTGTGGAGGGAGATGCGTCGCGTGATTATACCCAGCCCGAACATCTACATGAGTCTTTGTCTTTTTTTATTTTATTTGCATCTTCTTATTACTGAAGAGGGAAGATGGGTTGATTCCCATGTGCAACGAATTTTAATTTTTCCGCTGCTCAACGCATTTTTTTTTTGTGGACATCGTTTTTTTTTTTTCATACACGCACACCTGTGTTTTTTTCTCCACTGGTGAACAGACCCCAACAATTTTTTTTTTCACGTGCGGACGCGTGTTGGAAGCGATACCTGTTATTGGCCGGCTTATTGCTTTTTTCTTTATTAATCTCTCTCTTTCATCTTTTTATACATCTGCATGATGAGGTAGGTAGCAGCATATACAGCACATTACGACCAACACCAAAAAGAGTAGCGTGGGGGATATTCACAGGTCGGATACGGAGATGGGTGTTTTTGTTTGCTTAGGTCCTAGAATTGGGGGAGCGATTCATTCATAGATGGGATACGGCGTATGAGAAGAAGGATATTTAAATAAATAATTATAATGTTTTTTTTGTGCTTTTTTTTCCCTTTTGTTCCCTTGTTCCTTTATGCATACAGGTATGCATGTTGTCCACTGTGTATATCTAACTTATACCTGTTTCCAATTCCTTGAGCTCATCAGGTTGGATGTACAGCGTCTAATCCATACATCTCCTACTCGCCAATGCTGAGATGGGTATCCCATTTGACATCCATGACCAATGCAATATTGCCATAGTGAAGCCTCGCAAATCACCTTTTTATAAAAACTCCATCGCCACATCAACATCAACACTCAACATCCCCATCAAGCTGTGCCGTCCAAGACGTGCTCGGCGTCACAGCCTTCTTCTTCTTCAACCCAAGCAGCAGTCGTTTTCCAGATCCGCCGCCCGAGGCTGCCGGTGTTTCCACCTTGGCCTCGTCCTTCTTCGCCGCGGCCCGTCCCGCGACGGCGCTCCAGCCCGAGGAATCGTTCTTGCTAATGTCCTCTCTACGCGAAATGTTCTCGTTGTCGTCGACGTGGCAGAGCAGGATGTTGCCCGCAACGTCAAGGCGCTTGATCGTGCTCTCGAGGCGAGGCTTCATGTTCTGCAAAGCCTGTTCGACGGCGGCAGGCGTGAGGAACGACGAGTAGTGCGCCGTAGCGCGAATGAGAATCTCATCTGAAGGCAAGAATGCCGTCTTGAAGTGAAAGGCCGTCTGGCTTGCGAGGTCGGCGCGAATAGCGGCGTCGACATCTTCCATGGTGAGGCCAAACCGAGGAGAAGTGAGGAGGAATGCGTTGAACGGATCAACTATAGCAAGGGGGGGAGGAGTCGGAGCCCTCGAGTTAGCTGCGGCAGCGGCAGCTGCTTCTGCTGCTTGTGAGTCTCTAATTTTGACGCACTGCGCCAGGGTCTTGCTCGGCGCGGAGACAAACTTGGCTCCTTTCCAGACGACAACGTAGCGATACGGCTCGAGATCCTCGCTTTTGCTCTCCAGCCCGTAGTCTTGGGCCAGCACATGCAGAAACTGTCGCTGATGGTTGGGCATAGGCTTGTATCTCAGTCGTTGCTCGCTGGGACTCTTGGAAAAGACCCGGAACTCGCGCTCCTGGGTCTCTGCCCAAGCAAGGTTCTCCTTGAAAAGACGAAGGGTAGTGTCAGAGTAGGGAACGTGATCGTTGGCGTGAGAAGCGGGATCAATGTTGAGAGCCGCTGCAAGACGCCTGTTTCGCTCTAAACGAAGACACTCGTCGTCACATTTAAGCTCGGGGCGGGATGGCGTAGGGTTGGAGCTGCTGGCGAGACACTTGACATCCTGTTTACGCAGGCCGCAGGGACAGGCGATAGTCGTCTTAGCCGTACAAGGGGCTGATTCGTTGCAGGCTGTGTAAGGTTCTGTTAGAAGCTCTTCTACTCTGCTTTCAGTTGGCTTGGACTTACGAGTCTGACCATGGCATGGATTCTGGCAAGTATGGTCACAGAATAGCTTGGTCTTGCCGCAGACTTGGCCGCAGGTCCGACTGAAACTAGCAGAATCCTCGCACTCTCCCGGCCTATGGCATAGTTTCCGGCACTTGTGCAATCTAGAAATACCGTGTCAGTATATTTCGAAAACGTTGGTGGGTAGTTTAACAGAAACATGAAAGAGATATGGCACGTACCCGCACTTCAAGCTCTTCCCGCAAGGTCGACCGCAGTGCGCCGCTTGAAGGTGACAAGGCTGGCTGTGCAGCTTCTCCTTGCCGCAAGCACACCACTTGTCTACCAAGAACGGGCACTTGGGACAAGATATATCGTCCATATGGCAGTTATGCTCAACGGGCGGGTGTCCGCAAGCTGGTCGCCTCGGGCAGTTAAATCGACACTCGGGAGCGTGAGTCCCGCAGGGCTGTGGTGGTTGAAGCACCGTTCGGCCACAGTTACAACTAATCTCATGGAAAATGGCTTCAGGGCAGCTCGCGCATGCTCCGCGATGGCAGATCTGCTGGCAGTCATGGCTGCCGCATTTCAGCGGCCGTAAACACGTCCGGATGCAGATGTGCTCAGCTTCGACGACAGATTCTACTGCCGGTCGGTTTTTCCTTTTGTTCGCTGCCTGCCTCTCCGCAGCCTTCTTCTCTCCTGGACAGCAGCGCTCGCCACACTTGTGACGACCACAGCTCAGATTTGCCTGGCATGTTCTCATGCACCACGGCTGTTGGACATCTCCCTGATGACAGACGGATGTAGATGTGGTCCGCCCACATCGACACGAAATATCAATCACCTCCATGCAGAATCCACAATCACCGGTGTGGCATTTGGCCTTGCACAGGTGGCCACAAGGGAGGAGCTTTTCACAAACTCTATCACAATGAGGCACCGGATCCTCGCAAGACTGCCTTGGAGCCTGTAAGAAGTTCTCAAGGGGAGTCTTGCCACAAGGGCAGTGAGTAACCACATCGGGAGAATAGGGGCAATGGGCCGGATGCTCATCCTGGGCGTGGCAGGTCGCAGAGCAACTGTGAGTCCCGCAATCGAATTTCCTCTCACAAGTCGTGAGGCAGCTGAAAGAGCCCTCAAACCATGAGGCATCCTCTACACCATAAGAAGATTGCACGTCCTGCCGCTCGAAGCAGGGGATTTTCTTCTCGACACGCCCGCAGTAACACTTTGCTTCAACCTTGAGATCGCAATCTCCACAGAGTCCGGGATGACATGGGTTTGGACAAAAGTGCTCTCCGCAGGGCAAAAGATCACCGCAGATCTCCTGACAGCTCCAACCATTTTCGTAGTCGGTCTCTCTGCACAGCTTCTGTGAGGTATTCTTCCCACAGAAGCAAGACTGCGTAGGGCCCACAAGACCACACGGGGGGCATGGTCCGGCGTGACATTGAAGGCCGCAAGGATGTGGGCACGTTCCTCGAGGCTTTGAGCATGTCTGCCCGCAGGAATGCGGGGGGAGCGATGTGCTTGAGGGCCTCGGGTTGATATCTTTCCCACACCAGCAGTGATACGAGCCCGGTTCATCGGACAGCTTGGAATTACATCCCGGGCATCTCCATAAATTCTCCGGCTGAGACTCCGTTGGCGGCCGGGCAGCATTCTGCTTCATCTGGTTGTGGTACCACTTCTTGGCACACTTGAGATGAACAACTGTCCAACAAACATTGCAGGACCACACGTGAGACTTCCGCAGGACCTCGTCCGTGCACACTGCGCACTCATAGTTTCCATGGCTGATGTCCTCATGAATCCTGGTTCCAAGATCTGCGGCGGTTGACTTTGGAAGCTTCACCTCGGGTTGTTTAGAGGCCTCAGTCTGCCTTGGCTTGCTAAATGGTTACGGCAAATTAGTAACTACTACAAAGCTTACGGATACAAGGTGGTGTGCTGCGTGGCTAGGCTACTTACGCCCTCGGCAATACTGGCTGACCAGGAACAAACTCGGGAGCTTCCGCACTTAATGAAAGAGCATCTGATGGCGTTTCGTCCGCTTCAACGGTGAGATGGCCACCAAATCGCCGTGTCGGGCCCGGCTGCGGACCTCGAGGGGCGCTTTGCCTGGCGCCACCTCGCTCGCCCTGCCGCGGCCCTCTTCTGCTGCCTCTTCCCCCGCGAGATGATCTTGAAGGGTTTGAAGAGGATGCCGCGCCCTGCTGTGATGGGGCTGCAGTAGGCATGGGAGGGTTCTCTGAACTCTCGGTCTGTGAGGCTGGCTGCCCTTGAGTTCCTTGAGCGGAACCTGCATGATGCCCTCGTCCTCTGCCGCCACGGCCCCGGCCTCTACGACCTCGTGAAGCCCCTCTGGAGGCACCTTGCGCCTGATTCTGCGCCTGTGAGGCCTCGCCTTCGGGCATTATTACAGCTGAGCTCTGAAGAGAGCTTCCTCGTGGTTGATTTGCGATTTGATCGTCGTGGTGCATGAAACGTTGGTAGGGCCGAGTGAGAAGACGGATCTGAGTCTGAGGCTCCAAGCTGGGCAATATGGCGCTATCGCACAAAACGACGAATATTAAAAATCCGAGCACAATGAAATGCAAAGTGATGAGATAAAGTTGAAAGTTGCGGCGATGCGCCAAAAGAGCGCCCGTGGCCTTGATATTGGAAAGATGGAATCTTTGAAATTCATCAAAACTTTGGTGGGTCGCAGTGCCTTGTGTGGCAAAGCGGCAAAGCCTCACGCAACGGCTGCTGACAAAGGCATCGTTCCTGCTGCTAAGACAGACGTGTGAGTCACTGAGATTGCGGAGAAGGTGAAATTGGCCAATCCAACCGTCTGTGGTAAATGAAGTTTTCTAAGAGTCATAGTCACAATAGCAGCATGAGGGAGTCAGCCTTCCTAATACTGCAACAAGCATCGAGGGTTTTGTTGATTATTGACTCAAACCCAGGGGCGTAGTAGTCCTATGGGCTAATCGAGAGCAATAAGTGGGAGGGTTTGTACTCGATAATCTACCCTACATCTCATTTCTATACGGGTAAGAATGGGGTCGGTGCGCCAACTGCGGAGTCGATGACTGACCAACAAGGAACTTTTCTTCTTTTTCTTCTAGTCCATAGAGTAAGGTGAAATTGGTAAATTGGGGCCTACATGGTAGTTGGCAGTAAGAGGTGAATATACCGAGGTGGAGGAGTTTTGAACAGGAGTGGGCGGCTTCACTGCGATGCTACCCTGGAGCTTCATGCAAAATTGAATTTACATACAATGCATCGAACAATTGATCAGCTTTTTGGACTATTGTAAAAATGTAAACTAAGGGAGCGCCTATCAAACACCCTCCATTTCGTCATTCAGCATCTCGTGCCGCAAATAGTATTTCGTACTGGACGAATAATAGCTATAGTAGCTGCCACTAGAGAAGTGTAGACATAGTGGTGCATGCTGGAGATATATACCTACTATAGGTACCTGCTATAGTAGCAGATACTTGAAGAACTGGGTACCTTTCATTACTAAAGTACAGGTACCTATACCGTACCTAGGTACTAAATAAACGGCTTTTCGGTTCTAATGCTCGAATTTCACGCATTCACTAGGATGCTGGATAGCCAACTTGGGGTGCTGAATATGTAGTCACTCCCCAAACTACCTACCTGTAAGTACGAGGACATGTCCGTGCCTCGAGAGAGAGATTATAGAAATTGCCCTCTTCCTTCTTTTCAACTAATATGTAGGAAAAGAAGGTTGCAGCTACCCCACGTCAGACGTCAAAACGTCACGAGAGTTGGGCGTTGCGGGGGAGATTAAGTGAAAACTTCAGCTCAATGTCTTGAAGCCGACGATAGCAACACCACTCTATGTAAAACTTATATCCAATCCTTGAACTAATTTACTCAACAGGCTACTCATGGCCGTATAGGTCCTCCATGTATACGTCGATGGCTCTCTAGATCATCTTCCGGGAACAACAGTACTCATGGGAGCAAAGATGAATCCTAGGCTTCCACTCCAGCAACCTTGAGTGCAATATCGTCTCTGGCGGTGAGTCCAGTACTATCAATAGCTTCTTTTAGTCATGATCAGCAGACGGAATATATTAATGTGGCTTGAGCGGCTGAGAGCAATACACCAATAAATGCAGGCTGCATACCAGCCGCCTTGGCGCACCCGGGAGAGAAACACAAGTATCAAGTAAAGTAAATCCATGCATGCAACTTGGGCTGCCCGAGTCCCTTGGCATCCACCACATCTGGAGGGTGTTGTATTACCCGTTTCGACCACGAGTGGCTTTCTGCGGTGTGATCAACATACGGCCAAGTTACGTGAACATGGCCGTGTGCTCTTGGTCATGCAGGGCTGGGCTTGATGTCAAGTGAGTCTATTCGCTTTCAATACACATGTACACTCCTTACAATCTCGGTAGATACGCCACAAAAACCCCCCTTATGACCATGTAATAGACAATTCTAGCCGCTTCTCACTGAAATGACTAGTAGTAGTGTATGTATTGCTTTCCCCTGATACTGCTATTAGTTGGTCTCGATGCGGTGCTGTATAGGAGTACTGTAGGGGCAGGGGATCAAAGGGCGGCTGTACAGACTCGCTACACATGCTCTGCATCAGCCAGCGCAGAGTCACCCCAGTTGAAAGCAGCTTCTCTGGAGTTGAGACGCCTTGTTTGGATTCGCCGGTTCCCCCTGCTGGTCACATACTGGGCGTAAATAGTTCTATGCACTGCACTTCGTATCGAGCAATGTTTGCCTTCTCATCGCGGCACGGATCCTCCATCCTCCCCCAAAGCGGACACTGTTAAGCCCAAAGTGGTGCCGCTGGGTTCAAGACGAGAACTCGGGCGCTCCCCAAGGCAGCCATTCACGACGGCGAGGCGCAATTTTCCTGTGTGCTCAGCTGCATGTGTGCGTATGTACATGCTCGTACGTGGAGGTTCGAGTGCATGTTAAACGATAACGCAGAGTCGCTGACAGGGGGGGCCAAAGGTGCTAGTGCAGTGTCCTTGTCGCTGGCAAGGATGGATGGAGGGACTGGGACTGCTGATAAGTTCGCCAACTCGGTGCGGCTGATGGTCCCCCTTGGCTCGATTCGATTCCGCGTGGATAAGAGATCGGCTGGGATGCCCCGAGAGTGGGAATTTGACGGGACGTCGTTGGCGGCATGGCGCAGTCTATTGGCCGCGGCGAAAAAGGGCGCCTGGGTTTAGCATCCCAATGCCAACATGCCTTGTACTTGTACGAGCACTTGTACGACCACCGCTTGATCGCTTTTGCCGATACGAGATGCGGCCTGAGCGCCATGCATGAGCATGAGCATGAGCATGAGCGAGGGCGAGGGATGGGCTCGGAAGAAAATCTCTAGCCCAGGACAGGCCCCATTGCCCTTGGCATCACCAGATGGATGAACGAGATGAGAGGGCAAGGGCCCGCACCGTCGACACCCGAGGCCCTGCACTCCACGTGCCTGTGGTTGGTTCTTTGGAAGAAATACTCCTGTAGGTAAGTAATGGATGATACGATACGAGCATTGAAGAGCATTGATTGTCCAGCGTTGCCGAGCAAGAGGCCAGCGGGTGTCGGCCAATAGACGCCCGGAACATCGAAGGATGTCTATCTGGACCCAAGTTCTCGCATCCAACAGTGGGAGCAATACTAGTAGCATTGAGCTGGCCCTGCATGAATTAGCCCTGTGGAATAGCAATGGATAGCAGATGCTGGGCACTCGTAATGGCAAAGGGGAAACGGTGGGTGCGTGTGCTCGTATGTGCGTGTCTGTGTCTGCACAAGCAAGAAAAAGTAGAAACGAATCAACTGCACCGCCGTCTTTGTGCTTTCCGGTGGCGGGGCATTTTCCATGCACCAAGACAGACATCCATCCAAAGTGGTGGCAAGGATTGGACACCTGAATGTGACGTCTCTGTTTTTTTTTTCTTCCTCTCTTCTTTTTGTTTTTCTTTTTGTTTCCCTTCTTTTTTCTTCCCCCCCTGGCAGAATTAGTTTGAACCGGTGCTGACCACTCCGCCAATAGAGTTTTATTGTTGTTTTCTCCAGCTAAAAACCAAAGACTCGATGCATTGTCCAGTTGCCAAGACGGACCGCGGAATCCGTTGCCCACAAATAAGCACTTGGCAAGTGTCTGTCATGACTGTAATGTACAGTACGAGTACCTTTGGTCTACAGACTGGGAGGGGAGCGTCTCCATGTGGTTTGGTTTGGGACAAAGCCAGCGAGCTGGACACTCTCGCTTCCTTGCATTGGACTATTCTAGGTTATTACTATACTACTACTACTAGCAGTACCCGGTCAATAGCAGCCCAGGGAGATGCACGACAAGACCAGGACGTGCAAAGTCTATCTGGGCCGGCATGGGGGATCCCTTGCTCATCAAGGCAGTACTTGATGTAGCAGCACGGAATATTACTTCTGTGAGTGTGCGTGCGTGTGGCTAGGCTGGTTTGGTGGTTGGATGGTCAGTCGGCTTCCAAGAGCCGACAAGACACGACAAAATTAGAAATGCTCACAAGTGGCATGACGATATGGCCCTCGATGCTACCGCATGTGTACATGTGCTGCACAGTGCTGTGAGTACTTGAATTGCTTGCTTCCAATGCTTGCAATTGCTTACATCTCGCAGAGCTGCAACGGCAAGGCAAGGAGAAAACAATGGAACATCAACAGCCAACCCGCCAAATTACGGTGGTAACAACGCCAAAACTCAACACCACATTATGTTTCAGGTCTCCCGCAACGCACATCCATCCATAAGGTATACTTTGTACGCTCTCGCCCTCCGCTGATTGTTGCCCGTTCTGCCCTCGACACTAAGAAATTGGCGTCCACTTGGCTGCCGACGCCGGTGAATCGCACCCGATTTTCCCATCCACATACTAAGCGGCCCTTTTTTAATTTTTTTTTCTTCTCGCTGGCTTCTTCCTCGTGCCTTAGTTCAGCCTGAAGAGGGAACTGTGCCTGAGCCACCTCAGCTTCGGCCAATCCCCCACTGGCTAGTCTTATCATGCATGTTTGCAGCCCTCCAGGGGGATCGTTGCCAGAGAGAGACAAAGTCCGTCAAAAGCCCCGACGGCCAGCCGACGAGCCTCGGTGCGTGTCTCGTAAAAAGTCTACTACAAACTGGCTTTGCTTGTAAGCCGTCTTAGCGCTGAGAGAGATCAGGTCAGGCGTTGAATCCGATCCGTCATATAATTCCAAGTAATACGGAGGATTGTTGCTTAGACTTGAGAGATCCTGGCCATGGGCAGGCTAGGATCTAAGCCTAAGCCTAAACTTTGATTCGCTCCATGTGCCGTGTCAATATTCGAGGCCCGTTGTGGCGCCCCAGCACCTGAGGTCATTCCCCGGCATCGTGGACCTCAGCCCCACGACGCCGCGAGAATAGGTACAGGTATTGAATCGACTGACCCCAACATTAATCCCGGGGGAGACAAGAGAGACTCAGTGTGATTGCATGCCGCATCTTATCACGCACATGCAGTGTTGGCCCAAGCATCTCCGGTGGCTGCACAGTTCCCAGGCAGGCACCCGGATGATCAAATAGTCGTACCACCGGGTGTTCAGCTGCTGCGTGTGGGATGGATGGTAGCATTGATTCGAGTTCAGTAATCCTCCTACATAAGGTACTACCCGTGAGCGTACGAGTACGAGTACATGCACACTTACTCTACATTACTAAGTATAGTAGGTGGTGTTTAGGCACCATCCAACACCGTCCAACACATCCATTTGATCACATTTTGATCCAATGCCCAATACTCGTATGCACACAATGGAATGGAGGGCCCTGTCCCTGGCCGGGCTTGTTGAAGCCGTGAGAAACTTCTAGCCAACGCTGCTAAGCTCTGCTAGTGCTGTGCCTGTATCGCTAGCACCGCTAGAGGCATCGAATGGATGGATGGCCCGGAGTGCCGAGCCGTGCCTGGCCTCGTATTTCTGGCGCCAGTCGATGCGCTGTACAGTACTCGTACCTGTGCTCGTACCTGTACTCGTGCCTGGAATATTTTTTCTTTTTCACCAATCCTTGATCCTCCCACCCAGCACCAGCATCATAGCGCCGTGATCCAATCCAGCTCCCCCACTACTTACCCGCAGCCTTCTATCGGGACGCTTTGGCTCTTTGCTGGCCTTGCGGGGGTCTGTCTTGTCTGGTCTCGGCTCCGGCATTGGAGACGGACATTGGCCTTGCTGAAGAAGCCTCACGATGCTGAAGATGGCGTCTCGTGACCTGGCCCATCTGTCTGTCTGGCTGGCTTCTCCCTGCTTCTCCGGCTGGCTGCAGTTCTGCTGAAGAACAGCGAGGACCCGTCCCTGATAATCGGCCACTTCCATCTAGCTCAGGCTGCTCGACTCCGGCTGACCGACCCTGGATCGGGACGGGGGGTGTGGCTCTCGCCTGCATACGCGCCCTACTGGATTCTGGTTCTGCGTGGATGGACAAACAATTGCTCATGCGTGCTCGTACGGCGGATCCAGCACCAGCACCCTCTCTCTGCTCTGTTCTGTGTGAGTGGCTCCTTGTCCCCCTGCGCGCGCTTTGCTGGGTAGCCTGGGATGGCATGATGGCCCAGCTCTTGGCTCAGGTTCAACCTGCTGTAGGTCGAGTCTCGATCCTGGCCGTGTCAACTTGCGAAAACATATTGGAACCACGCCAAGTCTCCGGCCTGCCGCCTCAGCCCCATTAGCCTCTTTCCCGAGTCCCAGGTAGGCTCTTCTGTCCCTGGGTCGCCATCGTAGCAACATGTCCTCGCCGAGTACAAGAAGCTGGGGGTTATCCGCAATTGGACGCTGCTGTCCCTCTCTTCTCTCTCTCGTTCCACCCTAAGCCGACTCTCTTTTGGTTTGGGCCTGCTACATCACTCGTTCCCCTGCTGCCTCTTGCCATTGGCGAGAGCCACAACCCGCAACCATGAAGCCTTCTCCGGCGGCTTCGTTCTTGTCGATCTCTCTGCTCTCTCTGACGTCGTGCCGTGCCCAGGAGCTCCAGAAGCGCGCTCTCTTTGCGCCGCCCTCGTTGGACAATGGCTGGACATACCAGGGATGCTACATGTACGGCGTCTTCCTTTCCCCTCTTGGCAAACTTTAGCCTTGCATTGCCTATGCTGACTGGAGCAAAACAGCGATGTTGGGCGTACAATTGGCAGCGCGTCCATCACGGATGATGAAATGACCAACCAGGAGTGCGCTACTTATTGCTTTGAGCATGGCTTCCCTTACGCCGGAACAGAGTACTTCACCCAATGCTACTGCGGCTCTACCCTTGCAACGGGAGGTGTAAATACTACTGCCACCGACTGCAATGCCCCGTGCGGTGGTAACTCGACCGAGGCGTGTGGTGGTCCCGGCCGCCTTACTTTGTATAAGACGACTCAAATCACAGGTCCCCAGGTCAACCCAGGCCCCGATGGATGGTTATCCAAGGGATGCTATTCGTAAGTTTGCGAGCCCTAAGCATGCAGCTAGCCTCGAGGCCGAATCTAATCAATGCTAACACATGCTGGCAGTGAGGGCACCACTGGGCGAGCTTTGACGTTTGGTTATGGTGGAGTTGCCAATGCCCAGATGACCGTGGCCGCCTGTACATCAGGATGTAAGGCTGCCGGGTATACCTTTGCTGGTGTCGAGTACGGTGGAGAGTGCTGTGAGTGATCCCGACGCCCGCCAAGCCGACCACGCCTCGTGTGACGGGGTGTGGATGTTTCGTCCTTTGTGAGATAACTGACCACTGGTGATTCATTCCGACATGCAGATTGCGGCAAGTCAATCTCCAATGGTGCGCTGCCGGCGACAAGCGGCTGCACAATGACCTGCAACGGCAACCAGACCGAGTACTGTGGAGGACCCGGCCACCTCAACATTTACGGCCTCAATTCCGTCCGGTAAGCAGGCAGAAGCCAGACGATGAAAGAAGCTAGGATAGCGGCGATCCTCTCGTATTGCAGATATGCTAACATGGCTTGTGCAGCGACGGAACTGGCACCACTTCTGCAGTCCAGCCCGCCCAGACTGGTGCCTGTCCTGGCCAGCCGGCTCTGATAGGCAAATACAACTGGTACGGCTGCTATACCGAAGGAACAAACTCACGGGCCCTCGCTGCCAAGACGTATGCGGATGACGCCATGACCTTGGAGAGCTGTGCGACCTTTTGTGTGGGCTACACATACTTTGGAGTCGAGTACAGCCGAGAATGCTACTGCGGCAACTCCTTTGGCGGCGGCTCCAAGCTCACCAAGGCATCCGACTGTGGCATGACTTGCAGCGGTCAAGACTGTGAATATTGTGGCGCCGGTAACCGATTGTCTGTCTACTCGCTCAATGCTCCCGGTACGGGTACCTCATCGGGGCCCGCCGTCCCCCCCTCCACCACTTCAGCTACGACGCAGCCGACTGGATTCCCTCAGGGATGGCAGTCCTATGGATGTTACGTGGACGGAGTCAATGGACGCATTCTTAATACCCAGCTCCCCGACGATGCTGACCTGACCCTCGAGTCCTGTGTACAATCCTGCGCCTCTCAGGGATTTACCATTGCCGGTGCTGAGTACTCCAAGCAGTGCTTCTGCGGTAACAATATCGTCAACGGCGGCGCTAAAGCTACCAACCAGGCCGACTGCAACACTCCTTGCGCCGGTGACGCTACCGAAATCTGTGGCGGCGGCGGCAGAATGAGCATCATTTCCAAGGGCGTCCCGGCCGTCCAGGCTCCTCCGGGACCTATCCAGCAAGTCGGTAACTGGACCTACCAGGGCTGCTACGAAGACAATGTCAACCAGAAGCGTACCTTCTTCTGGCAGAACATCTTCGCCAACACCATGACCCCTTCGCAGTGCCTTAACCAGTGTGCCGAATTTGGTTACATGGCTGCCGGCTTGGAGTATGGTCAGGAGTGCTACTGCGGCGACCCAGAGAACATCAAGACCTCTGGTGCTACGAAGAGGCCCGAGTCTGAGTGCGGCGTGCCCTGCCCGGGCAATGCCAGCGCCATCTGCGGTGGTGGTTCTCGCCTCAGCACCTACTTCTGGACCGGAGCACCCTTCTACTCTTGGAGCTTCCCTGCTGCTGGCACTGCCGCTGCCGGTTCCTACGAGCAGCTCATCGGCGGTGTCTGCATTCCCCTGATGACCACCCAATCCATCACCGGCAAGGTCACCTTCCTTGAGAAATGGGGCACTGGTGAGCCCAACTCTACGGGCGCCTATGAGCTCGACCTGTCCCTCGTCAACCAGTACCAGCTTGCATGGCGAGAGATGCACGTCAAGACCGATATCTTCTGTGCTGGAGGTGTCACTCTTCCCGACAAGGCTGGCCGACAGCTTACTGTCGGAGGATGGTCTGGTGATTCCACCTATGGTGTCCGCCTGTATACCCCCAACGGCTCCCCTGGTGTCAACGGCACCAACGACTGGCAAGAGAACGTCGACATTCTGAAGCTCCAAAACGGCCGCTGGTATCCCACTGCCATGAACATGGCCAATGGCTCCGTGCTCGTCATCGGTGGTGAGACGGGATCCAACAGTGCTCCCGTCCCGACCCTTGAGATTCTCCCCTTTACTGGCACCGCACCTCTCTACATGGAGTGGCTAGAGCGTACCGACCCCAACAACTTGTACCCCTTCTGCACTGTTCTTCCTTCTGGTGGCATCTTTGTTGCCTACTGGAACGAGGCTCGCATCTTGGATGAGAACACTTTTGCCACCATCAAGACTCTGCCCAACATTCCTGGTTCAGTTAATGATCCTCTTGGTGGACGAACCTACCCCCTTGAGGGAACCGCTGTCTTGCTGCCCATGCACGCCCCCTTTACTGAACCCCTCAACATTCTCATCTGCGGTGGTTCTACCGAGGGTGCCTCGAATGCTATAGATAACTGCGTGAGCACCTACCCCGATGCTGCAAACCCTACCTGGGCCCTTGAGCGCATGCCTTCCCAGCGAGTCATGCCCTGCATCGCTCCTCTTCCCGATGGCACATACATTATCATGAACGGTGCTCACCACGGTGTTGCTGGATTCGGTCTTGCTAATGACCCCAACCTGAACGCTCTTCTCTACGACCCTCAGAAGCCCCTCGGCTTCCGTATTACTGTCATGGCGAACACTACCGTCGCTCGTCTGTACCACTCTGAGGCCATTACCCTCCTGGACGGCCGCGTGCTTGTCTCCGGCTCTGACCCGCAGGATGATGTCAACCCCGAGGAGTACCGTGTCGAGACCTTCACCCCTCCTTATCTGAAGAGCGGCAAGCCTCGCCCATCTTTCACCGTCACCAACAAGGACTGGGGCTACGGCAAGCCCATTACCGTCACTCTTGGTGCCGCTGCTCGAAATGGCCCTATCCAGGCTTCTCTGCTTGGTGCTGTCACTAGCACTCACGGCAACTCCATGGGAGCTCGCACTCTCTTCCCTGACGTGTCCTGCACTGGCACCACTTGCACTGTTACTTCTCCCCCATCCAAGTACATTGCTCCTCCCGGGTGGTACCAGTTCTACATTCTGGACGGCGGTATCCCTGCCGTTGGTGTATACGTCCGCATTGGCGGTGACCCGGCCCAGGTCGGTAACTGGCCCAAGGGTACTGGTTTCACCACTCCAGGTGTTTAGTGCATTTGATGGATTGTTTTATTTTTCTTGTTTTGGATATGAAGGATCGTCTCTTGAAGCTACTACTCTAATTTAGAAACTTGGTTTAAGGAAAGGGATTAGGCTTGCCTGTATTGTAAAGGTAACCCATGGTAATAGAATCGGGAATGGGGGTAAAAGGGCCACAGAGACAAAACAAGAATAATATACCCCCAAGAACGTTATTTTGTCGCTTGTCATGAAGAGTATCATTTGACATGAAGCTTCTGCTTTCTTCTCTTTTTTTTTGCCCGGTTTCGTCAAGACGGTAGCCATGAGGTTGATGGTGAGCTTTGTCAGGATAGGTCGTTTTATGAATGAATGAATGCAAATTATCTGATTTCTTTCAACTTTGTTTTGTGATATAGTTTGGTCCTGATGTATATGAGAAGCTGTATACCTTGGCAACTGCATTTTATAGATATATTCACTCTTCAAATATCTGCTGCTGTTTCTACTTTCTGCTACTATCGATTATTTATTCTAGTGTCTGCTACTATCGCTAGTTCTCTTTTTTTTTTTTATAATATCTGCTAGTATAGCCATGTTTATCTATCTTCTGATATTATTACTCCTTACTTACCTAGCTACCTAATGTAGTTTCAACTTTGAGATTTGGTATGTTGGATAGCAGAAATGGGGTGCTGGCTAGTATTTCCCTTGTATTGGGGTAATCCTGCATTCCGTACCTGAATTGGGGCCGCACTAGAACCGGTCGGTACTGCTATGCTTATTTCGCTTTCATGGTGCATACCACATGCTTCATCAATGTATTTGCTGAATCAATGAGCATAATGGCGAAGCTGTTTACCATTTAATTAAACACAATTGTAATTATATTTTGGAAAAAAAAAAAACACTGCAGCTACAGGTAAGGTTAGTAGTAATTGATAGCAGATACAGGACCTTGCGTCGTATCGTAGGCCGCAAAGCACGTGACCCGCATTGCCGTCTTTCTTCGGCCTCCAAATTTCGGCCGACATGGGTAAAATCAACACCGCTGACAACGAGACGAGATCGGACCTTTTCTCACCCTCCAACAATCCTTTCGAGAAAAATAGCCTCAGCGGCCAGTCCCAACGTCTTCCCTCCGTCCCGAACCATCTCTCGTCCATCCTCTCCAAAATGGCTGCCTTCGTCAAGGCCATCAACGCCAAGATCCGGTCCAACCCGACGGTGAGCTACATCTGCTCGACTCGTACGTGTCAACCCTTTTCGAGTTTCTTTGTTTCCTTTATCGGAGCCCAAAAAAAGGCGCCTGGTGTGCGCGGCAGTTAAGGGAGAAACTGTTCTCTGGCGATAACATCGCGCCAAAAATGCTTCTTGCTCGATTTCTTGCGGTTCCTTGTCACCCCCAAGGAGCGAGCCCTTTTGCCGAGCACCCACGCGATCTTGAATATGTTGGTTCCCGCAGAAGCCATCAGCTAACACTACGTCGCCAATAGACTTCTGGGGACCTGTATCGAACTTTGGCATTCCCATTGCCGCCGTTTTGGACACGCAAAAGAGCCCTGATCTGTAAGAAAGCTCCCCCTGCAGCTTACTCTCCCGCCGATACCGGCCCATTTGCTAATCACTCTCGTTTCGTCGTATAGGATCTCCGGACAGATGACTGGCGCCCTTGTCATCTACTCTGCGACTTTCATGCGATACTCTCTTGCCGTTACCCCCAGAAACTTCCTTCTGTTCGGATGCCACGTCGTCAACGAGGCGGCGCAGCTGACCCAGGGCTACCGATACCTGTCATGGCACAAATGGGGCGGAAAGGAGGCGGCTGCGCTGCAAGCTGGTGCTGATGCTGGCAAAGAGACATCTCCTCTTAAATAAGCAATATTGAACAAGCGGGAGCTCTGTTTGAGTAAAAGGGACTGAGATGATTAACAGACGGATAGCGTCACGTGGGAGGAGGAAGGAAGAAGACGCTGTTCGCGGTATTAGTATATCGCAGTGGGACTGGGGTCGATGAGAGGTTAATCCGAGGAGTTTGCATCTTGAGATTAGGGGTTTGAAGTGACTTATAGACTTTCTCTTATGCGCTGGAGATTTTGTAGCCCTTGGGTCATATGCTTGTTTCTCTGGATGCTTTTGTTGAAGATATTTGAGGGCTGAAGGAGGTTGGACAAAACAGCAAGGCTGGATAATAGAACGGGATCAATGCTTGGGAAGAGCGTGGACGCAGCATAAAGTGAGATGAACGTCCGTTCTTGTAATAACATTGTACTGAGTAGCTCTGGAGCCAGCATGTGATAGCACGTGGTGTTTGTGCCTTGCATTACCTGTACTAAGCCATAAGTGGTGGTAGATGGCGGTCAGAGATCGATCCGTGGACGTTTTGCAGTTCAGAGTCGGAGGCAATCACGGCATCGTTTTGGAGAGGGCCATGAGCTGTGTCATCCAATGTCTCAGGCATGATAGACAAAAGGTTGGTAGACGTGTTGCCCTGGTAGGCATAGCTGGAGTAGCTGCTTTGGGCGTTTGCGTCATGTGGGCCAGTCTACAGTGACAGTGGCTGACATGCTTCGTTTCTGTCTTCTGGAAAAAAGAAGTATGATTTGAGGTTGATGGGGGTCAAGGAAGATGCCGAGTCCTATGACGGAGCAGAGAGTACATCTAGAAAAGTACATACGGGATGTTCGCTGCGATTCGGGACTTCCCAGCAAGGCTGCACCGAGGCTATCCTCTTTTAACCGGGGTTAAAGGCTGGCTACCTAGGAAATCGTGACAACGGATATTCGCTATGAGGTATTACAAACAATGGTGGATTGACGTATAATGAAGCAGGCTATTCGAGGACCTAAACCAATCAAGGATGGTGGGAGTGACGGATGTTTTGGTGGAATGATTCATGTGCTGCTGTTGAGACGAGCACGAGGCAGGGCTGGAGATGTGCGTGTACAGCCCTGCCTGGAGATGTGCGTGTACAGGAGTAATACAGAAGTAATACAGTGGAAGGGGGAATGGGTCACGTCTCACGAGATGAGAAAAAAAAAGGCAGCTTGGAATTGCCACATTGTCTACTGTAATGCTACTAATGATGGAGCCAAGAAACCAATTTCGGTGACTGTGAGTTATGAATAACTCATGATGACTTCAGTCTACGTTACATGGCTACGTTGAGCTCAATGGAGGATCCGACGTCGGAGAAATTTCGCTCTTTTTTTTTCAAGATGGCTATTCACAATCTTGACTCCGTCCGAAGCGGAATGGCTTAGTACAACAATGGAAATTGCTAAGATGCAAGGCGGATGATTGCCATTCGCTCAATGTTTCGATTTAGGCGACGGGATTTGTCTTGGGGGGGTGCGATAACCAGGCACGCTAATCGGCCCTGCTGGATATCGGCCATGGCTATGATGTGCGAGCAAGAGAGAAGAAAAATCTTCAACTACAGTGACCACATACGAGTAGACTAAAGATCCCCAAGTTCTGTCACCAGCAGCCACGGCCAATAAGCCGACTCAGGGCGCCCATTTTCACTAACCTCCACCGGCGCTACTGTAGATGGCGATATCCAGATGGCTTGAGGGTAGTGCAAGTCGGCTTCATGCGCCGAACTCGAACTAGGCGGGGGGTTGTCTCATTCGTCAGCCCGGGATTTGGGGGGGCGCCTGTTAGGTTAGGTAGATAGATCTCGGGTTGCATCTCAACGTTTTCTCCCCCCTTCTTTGCACACGGAGTACATCTGCAAGATGCGCCGCCTTGGAACCAGATCGGCCCTTGGAAGCCATACTACAGTACCCTGCTTGGGAAATACGGGGGGGTCCTGAGATGCGACGGATCCGAAGACGGATCCCCCAGCCAAACACCCTCGGGCCGGCGTTACGATAGCAATTACGTTTTGCGGGCACTTCCTCCGAGCCGAGCAAGCTGGACCAACAGGAAGACACGGCGCGGCTCAAGCGAATGCTGGCAAAACCGGATGATCATCACGCGGACTGGCGATAAACGATCGGGCTGGGACGAAGTGAAGTCGTGTCGACATTTCCCGAATCTCCCATGCATCAGCCGCGTCTAGGCGAGCTTTTGCTCGAAAAAAAAAAACCAATGGTGTTCTGATCCTCGGTAAAAGGGAGCATCAGACGAGGGAAAAAGGAGGACGCGCGCGAGGAAGAGAGAGAGTTGAGGGGTTTGCTTCCCAATGGACCAAAGGCAGCACCGGGATTGGTGAGACTGGGAAGCAGTGGGCGGTCATCTTTCTGGTTGTGAACGGAGTTCATGCACGAGAGATCCAGATCCAAAGTGCTTGCGGTTGGGCGAGAAGCGGTAAGCACTTCTAGCTCCGGGGCGTGCTAGACACTTGTAGATACGATACTGTACGAGTTGCAGCTCCCAAAAGACAGAGACACAGACTGCGACAACGGCGGCTGATGGCCATGTTGCCTCAAAAAGCTCCATCCATCTCAGCAGCTTTCTTGGTGGATGCGAATCTGGCAATGTAGCATCTCGCACCGTCCGCTAGGCCGGGTACTGCGCAGATTTAGTTACGCAGAAACATGGAAGAGAGCACAGGCATCCCGCTCTGGGGACGAAGCTTAATATAACAGCGCCAAACTTGTAAGAGGCTGCGTTATCCCGGCGGGCTGATTGGCCGGAGGGAGAGGCTCCGCCCGTTTTGAGCTGGAATTTGGTCGAGCTAATGGTGATACAAGTTGGTTTTAGTTGGTAACGACCAAGCTTAGGTCCCCCATCTGGCGGGAGGAAAATCTGGTATGTAATGGGAATGACTCTGCACTATGGCTTTGGTAGCTCATGATAAGATGAGATGGGTGTAAGAAGAGCCAAAACCGAAAGGGAAGAAGAAGAAGATGATGAAATGACCAAGTCAGAGACAGAGAGAGAAATTGAAGAGAGCCATTTTCGAGACACACCCTCAATTGTCACATCCAATACTTCCTCTCTCTGTAGGTAGCTTTATTTTTCTTGGTTTCGGGTGGGCGCAGAGTTTTTGGTTTGACAGACAGCTCCCCCTCATCTCCTGTTCTGTACGTCTGCTTGCGGCCAAGCCTCTTGGTAAAACAGCAGGTTAAACACCAAATGTCTGCTCTGCTCCTTGTCTCACCGACAGGTCCATCAGCTGACGAGGCGCCATGGAAAAGCTGAGACAAGATACAGTAGTACTCGGTTGATCCTTTTGTCCATCCAACGCCGTGCTGTCCATTTTGCTCCAACGCCGTAGCCGCCATATTCCTAGATTCCTTTCCTGCCCCCCCTCCTTATACTACCATGTACCGCCAATCTTGTCCCAGGTCAAACGAGGCACTACAGCGAATAACGTAAGGACGCATCTGCCGCAGGCCATGTGTTCGCGTGGGCGAGCCAGAGTGGGCGCTCATGGACTGGAGAGTGTCTGGTCTATGTCACATCACGTACGTCAAGATGGGTTGGCGTCTCAGTTGCTTGCTTGCGCTCGGTCCACTCTCGATCCTGCTCGCGGTGGCTCGGAGATTTTGGCTCTGGCTTGCCGCGGAGATCAAGATCAATGCTCATGTAGATGTATTGATTGCGGCGGCGTTGATCCTCTGTTGTCATTCTCACTCTTTGCGCTGTTGGATACATGTACTGCGTACATATCTCTTGGCTTACATAGTCGGGAGAGTCATTTGATGCTTGGATTACCAACTTCCATGCTTGGCACCTTGATAGCCTCGGCCATCAGTTGAGACAGGTTACAGGTACTACTAGTAATGGAACACTCAAGGGAAGCACAGTGCCCAGTAATCGGAAACTTGTTGAGCTCCATCTCTCTCAACTCCCGCCTGCACCGACGCAATCAGCGTCACAAGCCGCCTGAAGCTTTGACTTTCCGGCGCTGGTCGCTGTGACTCGAGACCCCGCCCCCACTTCCACAGCGCCAGACCCCGCCAGCCCTTCCATAATTCCTACCCCCAAACCAAACCGGCCGAGCTTGTGGCTTCTCCGTCATAAAAAGCAGCCGATCCGGCCATTTCCCTCGAGCCATCCTTTTTGCTGAGCTGCTCTCTTTTCCCTCTCCTCAGATCCTCATTCTGGGCCAGCATCTTTTTTGATTGTTTTTTTGTCTTGTGCCGACCTGCCCACCATGGCCGGCACTCCGTCTCCTCACCCTCAGCAGGCGCTGACCTTCAACGATGTCTTCGAGGACGACGACATCGATGAGCCCAAGGAGGCGCAGACCATCCACCACATCCGCGCAAACTCCAGCATCATGCAACTGAAGAAGATTCTCGGTGAGTCGCGGCTTTCAGAGGTGCCTCGGCCGGTGCCAATTGGCGCGAGACCGAGGCGACAATAGACTGTTGCTGACCTGTGACTGCTGCTGCGCTGAATAGTTGCCAACCGTGGTGAAATCCGTAAGTCAACAACCCCACCATGGCCTGTCGCGTAACTGAGCTCTTTGCTAACCCCCTCGCGCAGCCATCAGAGTACGTTTGAACCAGAAAAAAACAGCCTCGACTCATGATCATTCCTATTCCCCTTATAGCGACGCATTTCAGTGGTACTAACGCGCATTTGCGCATCGCGAATAGATTTTCAGAACAGTCAGTCGTCCCTCTGTCCGCCGCTACCGCAAAGAAATGCTTACCCCTCCTCGCAGGCCCACGAGCTGTCATTACACACAATCGCTGTCTTCAGGTGAATAATAGGCAACTCCGATGAAATAATCCCGACGCCGTCTTGAGAAAGACTAGCTGACCTTTTCCCCCTCCAAAGCTATGAGGACCGACTCTCCATGCACCGTCAAAGTATGAGGACCTCTCCTTAGATGTGCCCCGCGCAAGACTCTGTGCCTGTACTGACTTGTTTTCCCAGAGGCCGATGAAGCCTACGTCATTGGCAAGCGAGGCCAG